ACCGAGCCAAACTTACATACAAAACAAAACAAAAAAAACATAATTTATGTACTTCAATTTTTGAAAAAGTTTCTTCTAGCCGATTAGCCATGTATCGAATCTTTTTTTTTTTTTTCCCTTTTCCTTTTACAAACTAATAGAAACATCGCTTACACGACGTCAAGGTTAACTAACACCAATGCTGAATGAATTTGTTTCCTCACGATAAAGGTTTGAAACAAAAACCCGATTATTTCGCAAGATTTTTTTCCATTTACCGTCTTCATCGGATAACGATGATGACGATGATCAATTTCAATGCACATTTTTTTTTTTTTAGTAATCATAAAAATAAAAAAAAAATCCGTTATTTTAAAAAAATATTTAACGGCGGCTATCACGGATGTTAGAGACACGCCCGATAACAAGTTTTTCACTGAAACACGAGTTTTTTGACATTCGACGATAGTAAACAATAAAAAAAAAAAAAAAAAAAAAAAAACATTCATAACAAATATATGTATACGTAAACTGTAAATATTCAGACAGCGCTAACGCCATCTTATTAAAAAAAAAAAAAAAAATTTTTTTATTTTTTTTTTACCTTACCTAATACTTACCGGATATTTTTACCAAAAATCAAAAAAAAAAAAAAAAAAAAATCCTCCACAGCCTTCTCTTAATTGTTTTGTTTATTTTTTTTTAAAAAAATAAACAAAAAAATAAACAAACAAAAAAAACACACAAAATTTAAATAAAATAAAAAAATCCCGGATAATGACAAAAATAAAAAAATTAAAAATTTGTTTTATTCCCGATATTTAATTTCCGGTAAAGGGACGCGTAATTTTTATCCGTTTTTTTTTTTTTTCGAACACGGGGGGGGGGGGGGGGATACAAATAAAATTTAAAAAATAAAACTCACCTAATAAAATCCAGTTAATGTATTATATAGATGAAATCCCCATTTTTTTTACCCATGATGATGAACTCGATGAATCTCTCAACGATAGATAGATAGATACACACCATCTACCGATTATGCGATTTTTGTTAATTTCATTCCTAGTTTTTTTTTTTTTTTTTCTTATTCGTTTTCTTCATCATCATCCGCATTTTGTATATATATATTATATACAATTTTTTTTTATTCACGATTTATCGATCGATTCATTTTTTTAATTATATATTACGAAAAAAAAAAAAACTACCTTTTACGAACATTTACTAATTTTTAAGCATTATTACTTCGTTTCGAAATTATATAATAAAAATCACTACTTTTAATACGTACAATATCGAAAACTTCGCGACGTAAAAACTCGATACTCAAAACTCAAAAAAAAAAAAAAAAAAAAAAAAATGCCTTTAACAAAAAAAAAAAAAAACCCGCACGCGATTAAATCACACTAATTAATTTTAAATAATAATAATAATAATAATAATACATTATTATAATAACTATAAAATTAATAATATTAAATTGATTTGTTGTTTGACAGTCAAGTGTGAGAAAAATAGAGGGAGCTAAGGGGGGGGGGGCCTACATAGGCAGGGCATCTAATAAACGACAACTTTTGATACAAAATTAAATCGAACGCCCCCCCCCCTTAATGCGTAAAAGTAAATAAATAATAATAATAATGGCAAACATAACCGAAAAAAAAAAAAAAAAAAAAAAATTAAATTTTAAACTTCGCGGTAATACGTTACGTACAAAGTGTCAGCAATTAAAAGTTTCATCATATTTATTTACTGCTAACGTCAGGAAAATCATTATGGTTGCGTCGTTTAACGATTTATCCGTTATAAAAAAATAAAATGAAAACACACAAATATTGAACGTATATGATATTTGCATGATTATGACTTCAAACAACAAAACACACTTTGTAAATTGTTTAATTCTTATTATTTTCCCGACCTCTTATAATTCATAAAAAATTATCAGGCGCGAATAAATAATTTCGGTAATACGTATGTATAACGCTCGTAATAAAAATATGCATTCTAAAATAAATTTTTTTTGCGGAAAAGGGCAACACACTTCCTTTTTACAGTTTTTTTTTTTTTTTTTTTTTTTTAATTAATGACGACGACCGTATTCAGTTAGAGACAGATGGATAGATATCCGTTTTATAGCAACAACAAAATTTTTTTTTTTTTTTTTTGTTTTCTACCCACCTACTATTTTTTTTTTTTTTTTTAAATCCTTCCTTTAGTTTTCCTCCGCGGCTCCTGCATTTTCCATCAAGCTCACACACACACAGCGCTTGATGACTATATATATATATTCCTCCTCTGTCCTCCGCATTCTTTCGATTAAAAGAAAACCATTGTCTTCCACTTATACGTATTTTTTTTTTTTAAAATTATTTTCTTTTTACTCAAATTTTTAAAGAAATAGTAATAATAATAATAATAATAATAATAAAAGAAAGAAAAAAAAAAAAGAAAAAGAAAATACTACTACTTTGATTTATCACCAAAAATTTGTTTTTTATTTATAAAAAAAAAATCACTTAATTGTAAAATTTATTATTACTTATACTTTAAGACAGACGAGAGATAATAATAATAATATATCATCGTAATAATTTTGTTTTTTTTTTTTTTTTTCCTTCCAACTTAAATGAGATTTTTTTTTTCTTTTCTCATGTCGTCGTCGTTTTTTTACGTGTTGTGAATTTTATATATATATATATTTATGTATAATAATAATAATAATAATAATAATAATAAAAAAGATGTAGCATTTAATGAGAGCATTAATAATGTAAATAGCACCGTTTAGAATTTGTTATGTTACTAAAATCAACGCAAAAGCATAAAAATATGTAATATGTATATATAAATATATATAAATATTAAATAAATAAAAAATTATAAATGCATGCAAGACAACGAAAAAACAAAACAAAACAAATATAAAAAAAAAATAAAAAAAAAATAAAAAAAAAAAAAAAAAAGGCGACAGATAGCAAGAGAAGAAGGCCAATAACCCAATCAAACTACCTTTTTTTAAGAAGATTTACACCAAGTTTTTTATTACAAGATTGTGCATTTTAGACATCTTTATTTTACCACCGTTATAACCAAAACTTAAACAAAACAAAACTACTACCTCTCCTCCTCCTCCTCCTCCTCCTCCTCTACCGTTCAATTTTTTTTTTTGGTAATTTATCGAATTTATCAAAAAAATAAATTAATTAAAAATAAAATTAAAAATGATTCACATAACATGATATAATTATATTATATCATGTTATTGATTTTTGTTTATTATTGGTCGTGGCGGTGGTAAAGTTAATGATGTCTAAAAATGATCGGAAAGCTGATTTACTTCCACGTGTCCTCCACCTGACTCTGCTAAATACAAGTTCAGGCACTTTTTTTTTTTATATTTTATTCTTTGCTTTTATGACGTACTAAAGTTAGTGTAATATTATTATTATATCGAATAATATGTCAAAAATAAAGTCACAAAAACAATGAATAGTTTCATGTATTATTACGGGGGGGGGAGGGGGTAACACCGTTTCGGTATTGCGTGCGTCTCTTTCATCAAATTTTCCTTTTTTTCAAAAGTAATAATAATAATAGTAATACGTACGTAAAAAAAAAAAAAAACGTAAATAACGTAAAATAAATAAAAAAAAGATTTTTCAAATTTTCCTAACAAACAATTAAAAAACCGTAATAATTCAAAAAATGCATAAATTGATTATTTCAATGCAATACCGAAACAAGTCAAAGTGAATACTATAAAGAATACACATAAAATTCTATCTGTAACTATGTACTCTTTAAATTTATATGATAGGGGCTATTTTATATATATATTTTCATTTTTTTTGATTTTGTCGTCGAATTTTTATTGTACATAGATTATGTCTAAACAGGATACGGTATCACTGCGCCAAATATCATTCTTATAAAAATTTTTTAATTTTTTTTTTTTTGAAAATATTTAAAATTTTACTTTTCAACGGAACCTTTTTTTTATATAATATAAAAGTGACGATCGACAAAGAACCTTTACTTTTTTTTTTTTTTTTTTAAATTTGAAAACGAACGTGTAAATAATATTTGGCGATCAAGTGAATTTTTTTTTTTTTTTTTTTTTTTAGACATATTCTTTTCATAATTGCGAATATTTTAAAAAATAAAAAAAAAATAATTGAAATGTCTGTCTTACCTTGACCATCCCGATGATCTCCATCCTGTGTTCCGCCATAAAATTCTCCAAATTCTGAAACAAACAAAGAAGAAAAAAAAAAAAAACAATTTTTAACAATTTTCAACAATTTTTCTTTTTGGAGGAAAAATAATTTTCCGAACAAAAATTTTGCTTTGATATTTCGTACATAAAATAATTTTTAATTTCACGCCTCTTTGTAATAAATAATTGTAGAGGGGGGAGGGGTGGAGAAAAATCATTATTAATTCGAAAATCTCGAAACGACAATTTCTCTGACATAAATATATAACTCAAAACACGATTTGAAAACGCCGCCGCCATTTTGACAATAATTTCCAGCAACGAAATCATTTGCTAGGATTTTTAAATACATACATATATATATACAAATACAAAATACGCAATTTAAAAAATGGTGGTGGGGGGGAAAAAAGTTAAATTTCAATTATTTTAATTCAATTCTAAACGGAAGCAAAACATTTAAAACAATAAATAAAATTAAAAAAAAAAAAAAATATCAATATTATTGCGCGGCTGTAAATCGAAGATGATTTCCACTAAATAAACAAAAAATTATTGTTCGTAAATATAAAACCCACGTAGGGAAAATATTGATTATAAAAAAAAAAAAAAAAAATGAATAAGACAAAGAGAAAATTGCCAACAGGGCTAAACATGCCAACATGGCGTGAAAGAGAGAGAGAGAGAGAGACAAAAAAAAAAAAAAATTAAGCTTTTAGCCTTGTTGGCATGTTGAAATTACGCAATCTACTGTGACTTGAATGAAAAAACGCACAAAACTGAAGTCGAAACTTAATTTTTAAGGAGCTCCTCTGATACCTCCTCGCTCGCTCATACTCTCCAAACGTTTCTTTCTTTCTATTTCTGGCCCGACGACGTCCTCGTCGTCATCAAACTCAGAAAAAAAAAAAAAAAACCATTTTGAATCATTTTTTCCCATATTCAATTTTAAACTTCTTCTTTTCTTGCTTCTCTCTCTCTCTCTCTTATTTTACCCTCTTTGTCTGTTTCTACATCTCCTTCTTTTTTCTTTTTTTCTTTCAAACAAATGTTCTTGCCATGATAATGTCATAAGCGATTTTTATATTCTAATATAAAAAGAGAAACAGAAAGGGGGGCGCGGATGGGGCGGGGGGAAATAAAAAAAATCAAGTACTAATAAAGAAAAAAAATGACAGTAAAATCGCTGAAACCAATTTTTAAAAAATAAAATTTTAATAAAAATCTGTTTTTAAAAAATATTTTTTTAATTTTTTTTTTTTGTACAAAATATAATACGTCCGCCATCTTTAAAAACCAATCTTTTCCTGTAACTTTTTTTTTTTTATTTAAATTGTTGTACACAAAGCTACTTATTCATCATTAGTGTTACTACGGAAAAAAAAAAAAAAAAGTACCAAAAATTTCAATTTTTTTTTTTTTAAACTCAAAAAAGCAACCAAAAATAAAAAGAGAGGGGGGAGGGGAGAAGAAAGATACTTTTTTTCAATTTTCCCAAAAACTATTCAATGCCATTTAAATAAGAAAACCTCCCCAGGTATTTCTTTTTTCTTTTACAAAAAAAAAAAAAAAGAAACAAAAAAAAACCTTCAAGATAATAAAATACGTGTACGATTCATGCCATCTTCCCCCCCCTCCCCCCTAAACAATACCTAGGAAAAGAAAAACAAATTTAACGTTCTTCAGGGTAGTAACATCATCATCATTTTTACCAAACAAAGAATTATTGAAAGAAAAGAAAACATGTAAATTCACGTCCAGCAAATCATATTCGACTAGGTTTTCTCTTAAATAATTTTCCGACAGCATTTTTAATTATTGAAAAAAAAAACTTTATTATTCAAAAATAATAATAATAATAATAATTTTCTTTTTCCTTCCTTTGCATTTAAATTTTTCGTCGAAAAAACAATTTTTTTTTTCTTTTTTTTTTTTATTCATCAAATCTCGATATTATTATTTATACTTTGATGAGTAGAAGAAAAAAAAGAAAAAAAAAAAATCAAGTTATTAAGTAGTCATCAAAACTTTCAACTAAGCAATTTCACGGATTTATATATATGTACAAAAAAGAGAGAGAGAGAGAGAGAGAGAAAATCGCTCTTTTACCTTTATTATTGTTATTTTTGATTCGTTTGCGAAATTTAAAGTAAAACGAAATCAATATCAATTTTTTTACTTTTCTTTCTTTCTCGAATAATTCAAACGTTATTAATAATAATAATAATAATAAGCCTGAAAATTAATGCGAAAAATATTTTTCATCAATCGGACGTATAAAAAAAAAAAAAAAAAACGCAAACCATCAACTCCATAACGACAAACAAACAAACAAATCGTCATAATCATCATCAATTCAATGCGCAAATTTCAAATATAAACGTAAAATTAATTTTTAATTAAATTGTACCTTAAAAAAAAATTATCTTATAATATTGAAAAAAAAAAAATTTCACATATATTAAAACAAAAATTCATTTTTCATTCGCGAATTTCTTCTTTCAAATTATTTTCTAAACCGTCTCAAAAATAAAAAAATAAAATAAAATATATAAAAAAAAAAGAAAAGAAACTTAGGGTAACGTCATGACTTTCGATGCAATAAATTTGTCGCCAAGTACAAGGAGGAGATATTTAAAAAATTTAAAAATAAATTTTTTTTTTTTTTTTTTTTTCTCTCGTTCCTGCCTCTTTCAGTTTTACTTAGTTTTCTACGTTGTAGCATTTTTTTTTTTTTTTTTATTGTAAAAAAAAAAAAACTACAGACATAGATAATTTTCGAGTTTATTTCATCAGCCTCGATTCTTAAATTGTAAAAATAATAATAATAATAATTTTACACCGGATTTCTACACTTTCAGGTATTTTAATTGGTTGGCGATTGCTGAATGTAACACTAAGGCATTCTCATATCTAACGCATTCAACAGTCGGTCATTCATTATTATCATTATTATTATTATTATGGCTATATTTTACGTGAACCATGAGAAACGTGGTCATGATACATACACAAAACAATAACCTAATTGGAACGAGTCCATATCATACATACAGTTTTCTTTCTTAATTATGTACAATAAAATTAATAAAGTTAGAAAATGAAAAATAAAATAAATAAATAAATACATAAACGCGTTCGATACTGTTTTTTGTAGCACACGGACCCCACCATAATTACAATTTTTATTTCTTTTCCTTTTTTTTTCGTACGTCATTTTCGAAACTTCTCGAAACTTTTCTAAACCTAATACTTCAGGAGAAATATTAGGTAAACAGAAATCGATTTTAAGTTCAGATAATTTGCCACCGATAAAATAATGCATTCCATCGCATATCTAAAGGGTGAACGAATGCATCATGAAAACTTTCCCCATCGATTTAATAATAATTAAATAAGAGCAAAATATCTCAATAGTTCCTATTTAATGCGAGCAAAAATTTATAATAAAATTTAAAAAAAAAAAAAAAAAACGGGCGCAAATTAAAAAAGATGAGAAATATTTAAAAAGAAAAAAAAAAGAAAAAATTAATAATAACTTTCATGAATGCAAACATGGCAACACTTCACCACCATTTCCTTTCTGGGAAATGAATTAAATCGTAAAATAATAATAAATGCATTCATATGTGCACATACTTATATATATGTGTATACGCGGCGTATACGTGCGTGCACATATGCGTATATCACATATATATATTTTTATATGTATAAAAATTACGTCGGTAAAAATAAGTGCGAGAAAAACGAACGAATAAAAGAATAATTTCATCGCCGGAAAAAAAAAAAAATAAAAAATCCTTTTTTTTTCTTTTTTTTCTTTTTTTTTTTTTTTTCGTCTAGCGCAGCCATAACGAAGAGGTACATTTTATGAAAAACCTGATTCGGTCAATAACCTCATGAGTATGAATCGGACAAAAGCGAGGAACCGAGGCGTCATTGAATTCAAATTGAGAATCGCAGACAACTTACAATTTCTCTTTTTTTTTTCTCTCTCTCTTTCTCTCTCTTCAACAATCTCACTTTACCTATCCTTCTCTCTTTCTTTTTTGGAACAGGTATTCCGTAAAACAGAAACGAAAGAAAACTAGGTTTTCCATTTGAGCATTAGAAAAGAGAAAACGATTTTTCGAATCCGTTCCACACAACAGTTATTTTATATATTTGAGGTTCGCGGAGAGCCCCACAATCCATGTCACTTGTACACCAGCGGAAAATAAAATATTTTCATTTCCTTTTGACTATCTTTGTCGTTGTCGTCGTTCAGAGTTCGCTTTAGAGTCAGCGGTGTACGCGGATTCAAGGTTATGTGCCTTTTCACAGAACAGAGAGAGAGAGAGTGAGGGAAAGAGAGAAAGAGAGAGAGAGAAAGAGGGGGGGAAAAAAAAAACTCTAAACATGTGGCCAGCGCGTCCTCCCAGATTCTTTGTCTCTATAAATATAAAACCCGAGAAGTCGGGAAAAACTAAGTTTCTCCTCCTTCCTTTCTTTGTTTGACGCTTTTATATATATATATATATATATTTTTTTTTTATTGTTCGACAGAAAAAAAATCTATTCATCTTTTTCCCTCCTTGTGCCTTGTGTGTCTTTTATTTAAAAAAAAATATTTTTGTTTTCTATTTTTACACTGAAAATGTTTTCTAAAAAAATTAACCTTGAAGGGATTTTCGAGTGAAAGACGAGGAAAAAAAAACAAAAAAAAAAAAAACTTTTCATCGTTTTTTCTCTCTCTCTCTCTCTCTCTCTCTTTCTCTACCTTCCCTACCACCATTGTTCAAATTTATTAAATTTTTAAAACGGAAACAAAAGATTTTTCAAATGTGAACACACGGAAAAAAAAAAAAAAAAGGAAAAAAATAGTCCGAGTGTTTTTTTTAGAATACGACTAAAAACTTTTCACTAACGAAAAAAAAATTATTCCGATTAATCATAACGGAATTAATAAAAAAAGAAAATTCAAATCAACTTCTTTTTTTCCCCCCCCCCAAGTAAATTGTATACATTTTTCAATTTAAAAAAATTATTTTAAAAAATGCGACCCGCATAAATAATAAAAGAGAAAAAGAGAAAGAGAGAGAAAAAAGGGAGGAAAAATTTCATCTTCTGCTGACCACTTGGCCCGTATTTTTTTCCCCTTACCACCATGGAAAAACACAATAAAATCATTTTAAAATTTAAAAGTCTCGGTTATTAATATTTAACTTCATCAAAATTGTCTTCTTTGAAGGAAAAAGAAAAAAAGAAAAATGGCACGTTACAGAAAAATAAAAGAAAATCGACCGAAATTTATAATTTGGATAAAAAGAATAATGATGATGATGGAATCTTTGTCTTGTTAAGGTCACCCAAAAAATTTTTGTCAGTCGTAACAAAAATTAAAACCTGAGGCAAACCTGTATGTATACATCTACAATATTTAAGAGATTTCAGTTTTTAAAAGAATAGAAAAAATAAAAAATAAAAATTTTTTTTAATACAAATTAATTAGAACTTTCGCTCGATAATAAAAATTTGAAATATGTTTTTTTTTTTTTTTTTTTTTTTTTTTTTTTTTTTTTAAAGGAAAAATTTTCGGGGCGGGCCTTTTTTTTTTTTTTTTTTTTTTTTTTTGCTTTTGAAAAAAAAAAAAAAAAAAAAACATTTGTTTTCGAAAAATTAAATATAAAAAATTATAACGAGTGATTAAACGAATTTTTCTTTTTCTTTCTTTTATTTTTAATACGCAAAACTAATCGCGGCATTATTATTATTATTAAAATATTAATATTAATAATAATAATAATAATTCACATGTTAATCATTGATTTTATTCAACGAATATCAGGTGCATAAAAAAAAAAAAAAAAGAAAGAAAAAAAAAAACCAAGGTATGTGACCGGCATCGTATTAATTAATAACCGTAAAATGAAAATTCCAAAACCTACTTTCGTGGATGATTTCCCCCCCTTCAAAAGAGAGAGAAAGAGAGAGAGAGAGAGAGAGAGAGAGAGAGAAAAGAAAAGGAATAAAGTAAGATTATTATTATTATTATTAATCTTAGAAATTATCCCCGAATGAAAACCTGAATTAAACACCCACACATACCGAATGAATGCATTCTCAACATAAAAAATTGACCATTTGATTTGTAATACTCGTCCTTGTCATCGTCATAGTCGTCGTTGTCCTCAAAGTTGTATCAAAAAAAAAAAAAAAAAAAAAAGTGGTCACACTATTTTCCCCAACATTGTAACGCACGAAAAGAAGTTCATCATGAATTGTTATAAAAAAAAAAAAAAAAAAAACTCATGGAATTCGAATAAAATACGAAGGCAACTTTATATAAAAATTAGCATAAGGTTGATGTACTACTACTACTACCACTACTACTATTCTTTCTTTCTTTCTTTCTCTCTTTCTCTCTTTTTCTTTCTCATTCTTTTATTTTCTTTTCTTTTCTTTCTTTTTCTTTTTTTTTTTTTTCTTGGGTAAATGAATTTTATTCTGATTAGAAAAGAACCTAGCTAACGGTTTTTTTTTTTTTTTTTTTTCAAGCTTTCTTTCCCAAGTCTTGGTAAAAACCATTCAAAAAAAAAAATAATAATAATAATAGCATTTTTTTTTTTAAAGGGAAGCAAAAAAAAACTTATTCGAGTAATTATTTGGTTCAAGTATTAAATTTTATTGAATATCGAAAATTTCTAATAGGATATGGTCGATTTTAAAAAAAAAAAAAAAAAAAAAAAAAAAAAAACCTATTATTTTGCACGTAATTCTTTTTTCATTTTAAACAAGCGGGGAAAACGATTTAAAAAAATTAAAAAAATTAAAACAAAGAAAAATCGCAAAAAAAAAAAACAAAAAAAAAAAAAAACTTTTTATATGAATCAGCAAGGTAGCGAGCATTAATAAAACGCAAAAAGTAAAAAAAAAAAAAACCGAGTGGGCAAATATTAAACGATGATAATAATAATTTCAACAAATTTTCCCCTCATGTTACCCTGTCGTCGGGTACAAAAAAAATCTCACATTATAAATTACTAAAGTTACTTTAAACGAAAGTTACTTTAAAAAAAATCGTTAAAGTTTAAAGGAAAAGCAAACGTTAAACAGAAAGAAGAAGAAGAGGAGGAGGAGGAAAAAAAAAAAAAGGGACAGACTGGAAAAAAAAAAAAAAAAGAAAAAAAAAAAAAAGGACGAAAACGGTTTCCTACAAAACGTTATATTTGTATACAGATTTTACGTATACAAAATAACGAAAACTAAATGCAATCTACCAAATCAAAACCCCAAAAAAAAAAAAAAAAAAAAAAGAGACAAAAACTAAAGAAAATGGGGAGAACTAAATAAGAGGGGTTCTCAGCAAGCAGATGCAACGTGATTCCGCTGCCTGCCCTGCCCAGCCCTGCTGCTTTTCTCTCTGCCTGCCTGCCTGCCTGGTTGGTTGCTTCTTTGGGTGAGTCAATTTTTACTTGGGGTTGAGCCTGAACCCTTAACTATTGGGATTTTTATTTTCAAGTTTTCTGATGTTAAAAAATCTATTCCTTTTTGTGTGATTTTTTTTTTTTTCCTCTCAGTATATAATTTTTTCTTTTCCCTTTTTTTAAATTTTATTCAAAGATATGAATATAAAATATAGATATTATTAATGTGAGAATTTCACGGTTTTGTTTTTTAAAACAATCGAAAAGAATAGTTTCAAGAAGAAAAGTCCTCTTTTTTTTTCTTTTTTTTTTTTTTAAATAAATTCAAAAATTTAATTTTTAAAAAGACTTACCACCATCGTTGTGCGAAGGCCCAGCTTCTCCTAAATCCTCGTCCTCTAAAGTCAGCTCAACGGAGTCCTCGTTTATGTCTTCTTCTTCTTCCATTTCTTGTTTTAATTCAGTCTTGTCGGTGTTGGATTCCGATGGGGGTTGCTTTGACTCAGATGGGCTAGGCACACGAGGAACTGGTACTGAGTTGGGGAGATCTAGAGAGTTACTACTGTTTTCTTGATGGTTGTTTATTGTTTCGTGAGGAGGAATATTTTCGGTTTTAAGGGTATTATTCGTATTCTCATCTTGTTCTCGAGGTCTCTTTTTTTTCCTCAAAACGGGAGACATGCTACCGTCGTGAGGTTTATTCACTGGACTATCTTCAGGTATATCGACTAATAAAGGAGAAGATTTTAATGAATTTCTAACTGAATTTTGCAAATTGTAAGAGGCCCTCTTCGATTCGCCTAATAATGAATTTCTTAAAGGTGAATTTGGTCTATGTTGCTTTCTGTCATGATGTCTCTTATTCGAATGAGAATCTACGGATTTCTCATTTCCCCCACCGCTATCCGAAAGCCCTTTTATTTGCAATGACTCTGCAGCCTTAAGGAACGTTCCGAGCTGATCTTGCGAAATGTTAACTTCTCCCCGGTACATGTAGTCCATCATAGCCTTTAGTTCGGAAAATTTAACATCCTTAAGAATTAATATTGGATGTTTGTCGTAGTGTCGGCTTAACAAAGTCTGGAAAGAGAAAATTATAAAAAAAAATTTACTTTAGAAGAAAATCAATAGTAATTGATCATTACGGAGCATATATTATAAGAATTCATACAAGAACTTTGCGTTGCAAAGAAAAAGGTAAATAACATTAAAGAAAAGAACGAACGAACGAACGGTAATTACTACAACTATTGAGAGCAGCCAGCTTAAAGGAAATTGGGGGCGTAATTAGATAGAAAATACAAGAAAAAAAAAAAAAAAAGAAAAAAATTTTTAATACATTAAAAAAGACAACGTCTGCACTTTTAAAAAAATAAATTTTTTACTCAGCAATGCCGACAATACAATAATTTATTTTAATAGAGCGCATCCATATTTGATAATAAACATCATCAAAAAATGTTTTTGAAAGTAAATGTAAATAAATAACTTTAGAAACCTTATTCAAATCGATAACAACAAAAGACGGCAAAATTATAAACAATTCAATAAAAAAATAATAATAATAATACTTTAAAGCAATGTTTGCCTTTTTTATTTATTATTAAAAAAAAAAAAAAAATAACAATTGATAAAAATGGACTATTATAATGCAAGAATGCAAATTTTATGTCATTTTAGGTATCGCAATTCATAAATCATTTCAATTATAATTAAGTAAATACATTACGTATGACACATCTTTTTCACATTCATATAAATAAACTAAATAAATTGAAAAAATAAATTTCATGGGGAAAAATAATAATAATAATAATAATAAAATGTAAAAAATTGCATATACTTTTAAAGCAAGCTTTCAAAGGCATATAATACACAAAGTCGCATCGATTGCATTCTTAATGTACCGAGATTGCTCCGGGGTTTTCATACTATTCACAATTTTAACGTACGACGACTATAATCAATTCAATTTTAATACTACCTTTATAAAAAAAAATTATTTAATGGCGTAAAAAAGTTAAATCAAATTAATACGTAAGAAAAAAAAAAACCATGATGCCTGCTTGAACTTTAAATAAAATTTAACAATTATTTTAATTTAGGTCTAGTCCTAAATTCCATAAGGTAAAAAAAGAAAAACAATTTTTAAGTCAAGCCTAACAAAAAAAAAAAAAAAAACATTTTAAATAAAAAGTTTGCTTATTCTCTAATACGACTTTACTCATTTTAAAATACTCATTAAATTTACTACTATTAACTACTACTTTACGTCATAAAAATAAAATGGTAATTTTTATTTAACCTGTCGAGAATGCGGCAAAAAAATTTTAACTCAAGTATTTAGGAAACAGAAAACAGGTTTAACAGCAGTTTTCGTAAAAAAAAAAAAAAAAAAAAAGATCTCAAACATTTCAAACCGCAAAATTATAGAATAGAATTTGTTTTGGAAAAAAAAAAAGAATTGAAATTTCACATAAAATCTGAATTTCAACTCGGAGAGAACGATCAAATAAAAACAATCTTGTCAAACAACTTTTATTAAAAACCATAATTTAACAAGATGTTTTCACCCAATTTTTTTTCAAAAAGAAAACTATGGCTCCCTTCCCCCCCCCCCTCCATCATCCGTTTCATTGTTATTTTTTTTCATTTACATACACGCACACGCACATGAAAAAAAAAAAAAACTATGAAAAAATTCCTTCTTTTTATTTGGTCAAATCTCAAAAAACTTGCCAAGGCTTTTGTAAAACAAATAATATAAACTAGAAAATTTTTAAATTTAAAGGTAAAACAGTTTAATAGAATACCTGCATGCATGCTTTTCCCGTAAAATATTTAAAACTTCTTTTTTTTTTTTTTCTCGAAAGAAAAGAAATAAAAATATTTTTGGTGACGTGAAACGAAACGGTTTTATATGACCCAGTAAAACATGGTGTGTGTGTGTGTGTGTGTTTATGTGGCGATTCTAATAAATGCTTGTCCATCCGGCCATAATAATATATTGAACTCAACATGTCAACCATCCGATTAAAATGCCTCCCCCCCCCCATATTTCCCCACCGTAAAACCTTACTTACACTTATATTATTTATATTTCATCATTTTTAATGCGAGCGGAATTTCATAAAAAAAAAAATTAAAAAAAAATAGTTTGGGCAAATATTTTCAAACATGCAAACAACACTAGAAACAACATCGTTGAATATTTAATGAATAAATACGTGAAACCATTGAAATATGTTTGTTGGTTGTTATGCTTAGGAAATTTGTAATGAATCCAAGGTGCAAGGTTTAAAAGTCATTCTCAAAAGACACACACACACCGTTCATTATTTCCGACAGAAAAAAAAAAAAAAAAAAAAAAAGGTAATTAAAAGTATACCAAAAAATTTAATCTAATCAATTTTCTTTTTTTTTTGAGACATTTATAAAAAATTTATGTAAATTTAAGAAGAAAAAAAAAAAAAAAACCAAAAAAAAAAATTTATGCCAACAAAATATATGCAGTAAATTTAACTGCAGGCAAAACATGGTCATTGTCTTTTCTTTTTTTTTTTTTTTTCTAAATTTTTTTTTACACGAAAAACAATTCTCAATAGAAAAGCAAAAAATGGAATCAAATGTTTTTAATAAACGTTAGAAACGTTAACAATTCAAAGGTATCCAAGCTAAAAAACTATTATTATTATTATTATTATTTCACACGTGCATTGTCTCTCTGTTCGTAGTCATCGTACAACTTTCTACCAAATATGTTAATTATTAATACATTTTTTTTTTTTTTTTTATTAAAATTTCTGAAGAGCATAAGAATTATTATTATTATTATTTTATTAAACATCACTTTATCAAATTGTCTGTTTCAGGTTTTTTTTTTTTTTATACATAAGTCGTTGAATGTTTAAACTTATAACTTTCTATTTAAAATGAAAAAATCAGACGAAATGTTTTACATAAAAATAAATTTAATTAATTATAAAAAATAAAAAAAAACCGTTAACTTTTACTAAAAAAAAGCAACAACAAAAAAATTCAAATTAATAAAATACCTCAAAAGAACCAAAAAAACGATGATTATCTAAATATCTCTCGTGCATAATAATAATAATAATAATAATAATAATAATAATAATAATAATAATAATAATAATAATAATAATAATAATAATGATTTCATTAATACAAGTATGAAGTTTTCAACGATAATAGATTTTAAATCTAAGATAAATTGGTAAATAAACATTGAGGGAAATGGGAAAAAAATTTTTTTTTTTTTTTTACAAACGATACAGCATTCCATCCAATCTGTAAAAATGCCACACACGCACACACAAACACACACATTTGTTTCCTGTCTTATAAAATTTATTTATTTTTTTACCAACGCAAACCACTTTTAGCGGGTAGTCATTGATAATTGATAATTTTTCCCCTTCCAATTTTTCCATAACGAAACTAAATGAGACACAATTTAAATTTAAAAAAAAAACCAAATAGAGGTCAAGGATTTCTTTCTAAACAACATTTGAACCACCATTGAAATAGTATAATATCCAAATGCATTATTAGTATATATATATATATGCATTACTGTATGCAAGCAAGTAATCAGGGTTAAGGTTGTAGACATTGAACTTGTTTCTTTTATTTTTATTACAACGCACTACTACTACTACTACTACTACTACTAGTACGATTTAATGAACGCATGCAATGCAAATTCGTAAAGACGTACGCAAGTAGAATCGCGCGCACACTTTATTGATCTCAACAAGTGTGCAAATAGTACGCAATATTTTTCTTATTAACTTCTTCCCTTTTCCCATATGTTTATATGATAATTCAGTATAAAAAAAAAAGAGAAAATCGATACTTTTAAGTTTCACGCACGTTTACAGCAAAATGTATATGACGCACACAAAAAAATTTTTACTTGAAACTAAACCCCCTCCCCCCTTTAGTTAGTTACATTTTGACTTATGGTACAACAGCAAATATTAATTTTTGATTCACAAGTTAAACCTGTCGTTCATTTGGAAATAAGTTAAAATCCGCAAGAGATATTTCAATAATTCCCATCGACATTTTATTATTATTTTTTCCTCTCCTTCAAATTTGACTTTTTCCTAAACTTGTAATTTTAACGGTTTTATTAAATTATCGAAGGGAAAGGCAAACAAACAATGGGCTCTACATTATCTCGTAAACATTTTTTTTTTTTTTTTTTTTTTAAACTTATAAAACTGACATCGTAGAGAAGAAAATTTCGACGAACAAAATCAAAAAATATTTTATCAATAACCCTTTAACCACCATTGTCTAAAAAATATAGATAGAGAATTCAAAAAATCTACATCAATTAATGTTTGTATAACAACATAACCAAAAATAATTTCAAATCAACCTGCATTAAAAACTTTCTCCATAAAATTTTTATATCAAATTTTTAAGTAAATAAACTTAAACTTGATAAAAACTTACTAAAAATCATTATAATTAATTTTTTTTTTGGGGGGGGGGAAAGAAAACTAAGCAAGCATAATTACAAAATTCAAAAAAAAAAAAAAAAGGGGAATTCAAACAGAAAAAAATCTCCAGTGATAATAATGATTTAAAGTAATTTTTTTTTTTTTTTTAAATTGCTTTAATTAAAAAACTTTAAAGCTTAAGCATTTAGCAATAAAAACAATTATATAAATACTTTTACTTTTTTTTTTTTTTTTAAACTTTGAAAATAACAATGTGTGAAAACAATGAAAATAAACAGTAATAGTAAATAATGTAAGTTTAAAAAAAAAAAAAAAAAAAAAAAAAAAAAAAAAACAATATTAAAATATCTATTGAATCAAAAGTGATTTCATTTAAATACAAATAAAATTATTATTATTATCATTATTATTATTATTATTATTGTAATTAATTGTTTAATGTAATTCATAAGAAATTTAATGCCTGCCTACAGCTGCTATTTTGTAATGAATAAAATTAAATTTTCTAACCTTTTGAAATGAAAATTAACTACTACTACTGGCAAGAAACGACAACAATGCTGCTGAGCTTTTAATAATTTTTTATTTTGGAAAGATAATTAAACAAAAAATGCTATAATGCAATAATTTTTAAAAAAATATTTCATTTGTTATATTTTCTAAACTGCTAAAATTTTTAGTAATTTCAAAAAAAGGTTTCAGATATATAGGCGAAATGAAAAAGAAATGCAAGAGAACGACAATTTTTTAAAAATAACTTACTTCCAAAAAAGGACTACATGCTGCTAGTACAACTTTATGAGCTGTTAGCTGTTGACCCTCGGCAGCTAATGTACAGTCAACCAGCACACCTTTTTCCAGTAAGCCATCAAACACAGCCACTAATGTCGACTGGTGATTGTTCCATCTTAAACAAAATTGTTGATCTGTCATTTTGTTCTCTAGTTCCACTTAAGCTACCTATAAAACAAAAAAAAATAAAAATAAATTTTAAAAATAATAATACTATAATTTAATTTCACTAATAACTACACCAGAATAATACTAAGTGTAAAAAAAATTAAAAAAAAAAAAAAAACCCACTGAATAAAAATAAACAAGTATATTATTTCCAGTTTTTGAACAATTAAAAAAAAAAAAAAAAAAAAAAAAAAAATCACGAAAAATTTTACATAAAAACAACACTTCGAGAAAAAATTGTTCTGGACCAAACAAAACAACAAACAAAAAAAAAAAAAAAAAAAAAAAAAAAAAAAAAAAATGAATTTATCAAATTACGATGTAATAATAACTAAGCGAAAAGGAAATAGGCTTGCGATATGACCCCACAGAAGTAGATGTAGGACATGCCTAGGCCTTTAATAATTTTCCTACGGCTGGGTCTATGACCTGAGCATTAAACCTTAAATCAACTTTCTACATGTAATCATGTAGCTTTAAATTTTAACTTATAATCTAACCTCAACACATTTAAAAAACATTCACAAAAAAAATAAAAAAATAAATAAATTCAATTCAATTAAATCAAAACTATTCTTTTAGAAAGAAAAAAAAAAAAAAAAAAATTTTAAATGTTTTTTTAAGTATTCGTAATTTTACGAAGAGGAACTAAGATGGCGGCCATACCTAACAAGAGAAGCTTTGGGTGAAATCACAAAAATAAAAACTGGGGCACACAACCTTTATTTAGCATTCACAAAACAAATGAATTTTAACGCTTTTTTAAAAAATAATAAATTTTATCGAAAAAAAAGAACGATAATGAATATATTTTGTGAAACTTTAAAGTTTTAAATTTGTACCACATTACATTTTTTTTTTTTTTAAAACAGTGGAAAACCCAAGCTTGGTCTCTAAGAAAGATGACCTCATAGAGAGCTTTTCGGCGGCAATTTTCCTCAATTTTATTATATTTTCAGTTTTACCATTAGAAAATAAACCTTAAAAACCTTAATTCTAAAAACTACTAACATATTTCAATTAATAAATACCTTAATTTATAATTAATCACTTAAAAATCATTAATAACACACATTAATGTACATTTCGTTAAAAAACCTTAGGCTAATGTCACTTTCGGCAGCTGTACTGAGTACTCTGCTTGGGTGGATTGACGCGTCCGGAAGTTGCGTAGTTAGATTTTTTTCTTGAAAGAAATATCAGAGTAAAATTTTTTTTTTAAATAATATAACTTTTAATTTTTTTTTTTTTAAATTAAATAAAGTTTATAAAATTTTTTTTTTAAATTTTTTTTATTTTATTATTTTATTATCTTATTATTAATTAAAATCTTAATTGATTAAAATTTTGATTCGTAATTAAACTGACATTTCTGTTGAATTTGTTATTATTTGAATTCTCCACTGTAGCGCTGTTAACTAGCTTGCATTTCCGCTCGAAATTTAAAATTATTTTTCTATGGAAAAAATTACGAAAATCCATAATTTATTTTCCATAATTTAAATATTATATAAAACGTTGATAAATTATATAAATTTCGTTTAATGATTTAACTACTCGTAAATAATTTCTTCATTTTTTTTTTATTCACGTTAATACGTTAAACCACAGAAATAACTTTAAAATACTCCTACTACTATATACTATTTGATAACGGTTAATTTTCATTAGGATTTTTATTTATAATTATCAAATAATTTTTTATTAAAAATTATTAGAATTTTTCTTTTGATTGAATCGAATCAAAAAATTTTCACTATCCTCACTCTAAAAAAATAAATTAAAATCTCCAATTTTTATGATACATTTTAATACTTTTTCAATAGATTCATCAGAATCCATAATTTATTATATTAAATATTAAGTATAAAAGCTTTTTTATAAAGTTTTTCATATAAAACTGTACTCAAAGCTCAAATATATTTATTTAATATTATGTGTGATGACAAAAAAAAAATAAATAATATTTATTATTCAACAATTTTTATTTTAATTAAAATTCTAAAATTAAGAAAAAAAAGTATGTAAATAATATTATACATTTAGGAAGATGTCAATTCATCTTTTTCATTTTTTTCAAGTTGTTGTTGTTGTTGTTGTTGTTTGCTTTTAAATCTTTTGATTTTTTCAAATTTTATCATTTTATCAAGCTTTACAATGGCTTTTGCACTCAGTTCAGTTTCATCTTCTTTGGCAGCTTGTAAAATGGTTTTGATATAATAAAAATCATAAAGGCGACATGCCTGATGAATGAGAGCTCCAATTATTTCAGCATTTAATCTGAAAAAATTAAAAATGGAATCGAATTTTATTTAATGTATAAAATATAATCAATGAAATTTTTTTAATATAGAATTTTACTTAAATGGTAATTTACCTTATGCCAAAATTTCGAGCTTTTTTGATTAATTCAATTCCTTTCTCGTGAGTATTGCAACCCATTGCCAAAATACCAAAAGTCATTATGTCAGGACTGCATCCTTCATTTTGCATTTCTATTAATAAATCCTAAAAATTATGAAATTTTTAATTTGCAATAATTTTTTAAGAACAAAAAAATTAAATTATAATTAAAAAATTTTTATTTTCTACGTTTATGTACCTGTGCATCTTCTAGTCGTTGACTTCTTTTCTTTAAAATTGCATTGAAAAAAGGTGTATCTAATTTTAAACCGTGTTTCCGTGCCTCAATCAACACTTCCTGTAATAATAACAATCATAAAACTAATAAAAATAAATAAATAAATAAATAATAATAAAAATAAAAAATGTATCAAAGAAAATTCTTTTAAAAACTCTTTAAATTCTTAGAAAATCCTAAATGTAAAAAATTTACTTTCAAAATTTTTTATTATACTGATACTTACTTAAAGCTGACTAAAAACATTTTAACCTCAAAACTATTTCCTTAATATTTATTTCATTTAAAATAAATTTAAATTAACTTATGAATTTAAAAAAAGTATTACAAAGTATTTGTGTCATAAATAATACTTTTTAATTTATCAATCAAATAATTTTTTAAGAAATTTACCTTTTCAGCAGCAGCATTAGGATGCGTTACATCAATTAATAATGTGAATGTTTTAACATCTGGTTTTACTTCGTACATTTCCATTGTTTTTAAAAATCCAGACAAACCACCAAAGCATGAAAATCTAAATAAAAAATTTTGTTTTAATAAAAGTATAAAAAAAAAAATATTTAAAATATGGAATAACTAATCAAAGTGATTTTAATCATAAATTGACATTACCTTTCATGTGGATATCTCATACTAGAAAACGAAATAACAGATCCTAAGGTAGGCGTGGGAGCCAACAAATTTGGTAACTGAGCATTCAATTTGGACTCTGTTAAATCTAATTTATCATCATTTAATTCAACAACAACATCATTATTATTTTCCTCAGATGAACCTGAATTGCTTTCAATTAATTCAGGTTTAATATTAGTAGTAGTAGTTGTTGCAGATATTAAATTATTTTCTCCGATACAATTTTCTTCAGCCATGTTTGTTGATTTTACATTTTCTTTATCGTTTAAACTAGGAAATAAAAATTTTGTTGCTTCTTCTTTGTCGACAGGTATGTTTAAAATTTTTCTATGAACTTTTCCATCAACTCTGTTAATAAGTACCTGAAATGTATAACAATATTTACATTACTCGTGACAGTAATACAAACATAAATGTTAAATTTAAATTCAAATTGTTGTACCTTTTTTCTAAAAAATTTATTACTCTCTTTAATAATATCCTCTATGACATTATTTATAAGATCAGAATCGCCAAATGAGCACTCCCTGATACATCTTAACATCAAATTGAAATCAATAATATTTGGTTTTAGCTTGTATTGAAGCATTTTTCTCCAAGTTATTAAAGCATGCCTTAAACCAGCATTCTTATCGGATATACAAGCTTGTAGCAAAAAATGATAAGTTGAAATTTTAACTTTATCTCTGTTTTTTAATACTTCATCAACAATTTCAAGACATGTTTGAAGATCCCCATGCCTACCAAATGCTTAAAAATTAAACAAAAACTAATTATTGTTACACTATATACATATGTACAAACTCCTCATTTTATTTCATTTATAATTTTTTTTATTTTTCTTTTCGGCAATTACTAAAGTTGTTTGAATACCTTTGAGCATTGCATTATAATTTGTTAAATTGATTGAATAATTTTTATCATTGGCTAACTGTTCTCTAATGGCAGTTGCTTTTTCTAATGCGAAAAATGAGTTTTTACAATTAGCACAAGTGTTAAACATTGAAGTATACATTCCTCCATTAAGTATTCCATTTCTCTTTTTGTAATCTAAATACAGTCTATAATTTTCTTTAAGATTTCCTATTTTTGCATTATACAAAAAAATTCTATTATATAAGTGTGATACTAAAGGCTTGCCATCATTTCTCATTTCCACTTCTAATTTATATATAGCTTTATCATACTAAAAATAAAAAATTGCATTTTATAAATTAATTTTACTAAAAAAAAGAAAAATATTTAATAATAATAGTTTAATTATAGGAATTACTTCATGATTTTGTAAGTGTCGTTCAATTTCATCAATATAATTTTTAATACTTTTCCCAGGACCTAACTTACGGCGATTGTATTCTTTAACATCTTCATCATCATCCTTAATCATATTATATTTAAATTCAAATTCTGATAAATTACCAAATGTATCTTCATAATTTGTTTTATCTTTAGTGAAAAAATTGTTATTAGGTTTTAAAGCTTGAGCAACGCTTATTTTTTTTCTATTATTTATTAAAGAAGTTGAAAATGATTTTTCAACAAGTTTTAAATATTTCATGTTAAAATGAAATAGATTTTGTTTATGGGTTAAATTACGACAGCCACAGCTCAACATGAATTTTAAACCTTTTGAAGAAATCATTTTTAGTGTAAAAAAAAAACAAAAAATTAGTAAAAACTTATAAATAAATTCACGGCATTGTTGACAATGAAATTATTTAGTAAATAAAACTTAAAATTAAACAACTTTAGTTAAGTTAAATATAATTTCAAAATTTCGTTTTATAATTTACGTTACAATTAAACGTTCATGGTTTTTCGTTTGGTTAGGTCTATGGTTTAAACTTTTAGATAATGAAATTAATTGTATTCAGTTGAGCATTATCTTGGTTTATGCCAAGGTAGTGTCCCTATAAAAACAAATTCATGGATTATAATGTTTAATTTTCACTGGCCTGAAAATTTGTCAATATTTTTAGATAATCTTTGTATATACCATGTTTTTTTTGATTTAATATCTTTTTTAACTATTTTATTTACTTGGTGGTTTTGTAAATTAAATAATGCAGTACCGGATAACACAGATAATACTGAACAGGTAATAAATACATTTTTTAATAAAAAAAAAAATTTCTCTTTTAATTTTTTACTGTACATGTTTTTTTAAATTTAATTTGTTTTATGAAATCCTTACCAATTTTATGTTCCTTGTTTGAGAAATACATGACTCTCATGTAGTGTTTTTCTTTTTTGTTTTCCATTAGGTAAACAATGAACCTTCATATACTTCCATTAATGAACCTTCTGATGCTAATCCATTGGAAATAAATGAAAATGAATACAATATGCTTGATTGGAATGACGATAATATAGTTTCCAATTTGAAAATAATGAGACAAAAAGCATTAGTTAAAGAACTCCAATCGAAATTGACCAAAGATGAATTAGAAGAAGAAAAAAAGTAAATTTTTTTTTTTTCTACTATTTATATGTGTTTTATAAAATTCATTAAATAACAGTTTTTATATAATGAAAAATGTTAATACTCATTTGTATTTTTTAGAATGGAAAAAATGCAACTAGAAAAAATATTTCAATTACTTCAAGATCAAGAAGAAAAATTTCAAATGACATCAATGGAGCAGTTGCAGGATCAATTACACCTGTATAGAATATAAAAAAAAAAAAAAAATAGTAAAAATTTTATAAGTTAGGAATAGGTTTTATTTTTTATTATAACTTAATATGTAAATACTGTTATTTAAATAAATTTTTGCCTATTTATCAAAATTTATAAATTGTCTGATAGAAATTTTTTATTATATTTTGGTAACAAGAGGTAGTGCATAGGAAAATAATGCCATCTAATTAACTAGTAAAAAAAATTAAAAAATTTTTCGTTTTTTTTTATGGAAGAATAACTTCAATATAATTTTAACACAATCATTTTAAACACTGGTAAAGTAATATTAATTTTATAAGGGTAACTCATTCATTCTTTGAATTAATTAATATTCATTTTTCTTTGGAAGTTATAGTAACTTTCTAGTATTACTAATTATAATACTAGAAAGTTTTTTTTTTTTTTTTTTTTAAATGCTAAAGTGAAATTAAGAAAAGTGCTTTCTTTCCCTTAAATGATACATTATAGTAGTAGTAGTTCTTGTATTTACGACTTAGAGTCACTCATTTCAGTTGCTAAAGCTTCTAAAATATCTAACAACAATTCTTTGTTTAATGTTTTCATTTTGGATGACCTTGCAACTTTAGAAAAATTTTGAACTATCAGTCTGAGGGCATATTTTTTCATATCATTTGCACACATACTATCAGCAGCTTCTAAAATGGGTAAAACATGATCTACACTAACATTCATTTCTAAGTTTTGTTTGCAAAATGCATTTAATCTATTATTTGAGAAACCATAAAAATAAGGAGCTGAAAATAAATAAAGGGAATCCTCTGGAGACATTTTAATATTACCACAATAAATATATCTAAGTAAAGAATCAAAGGATTGTTTGGATGGAACGATATCACCGATTTGAATGTTAACAGTTTTATCGGCAGGCATGAAGGATCTAAACATGGATTGAAAATATGCACATCTAGCTGCCAAAATAGCTTTGTGAGCAGGGACTTGAGTATCTTCTACTTTTAAAATAATATCACAAAAATCTTCTCCCTCTTTTTTCAGATATGCCTCTAAATCCTCCTCTAAACTGGTTCCAACATTTTCAACATTATTTTCATTGCCTTTAAAAACTTCAGGCATTTGTCTCCTCCTTATTATGTCTATCATTAATTCTTTTTCTACAGTTTCAAATTCATCTCTCATAACTATTTGAGTAAAGTTTGATTCTCTAACAATAAATTTCAAACAATATTCTTTAACAAAGTTTAATTTCAAATTTGATGCATAGTGCATTGCAGACAAAACATTTTGATGATTAAATGTGTTTTCTAAATACTGCATACATAATTGCTGTAATCTTTTTAATTCCAATTCACAAGCTAATTTAAAAACATCCATAATTAACAAGACAATTTTTTTCGATTCTAAATTATCGACTAATTTTGTAGGATCTATTTCATCTTTATAAATAAAACTTAAAACCATTTTAAAAGCTTCAGGAACTGCTTCTGGTAATTTTAGTTGAATAGGAGTATCACAGTTTATTATTTTACAATTATCTGGTGTGCAACTTTTTTTATTCTGATTAATTTGTTCTTGTCTTATAATGTTAGCTAGAGGTTTTGATCTGGCTGTAACTAATGCTATATGTGCTTTAACACATTCTTCATTTGGTCCTAATAAAAATTCAACATCACAAAATTCTTTGTTGTCCAATAATCTTCCATAGTCTTCATGCAGAGTGCATTTCGGATAAGAAGATAATTGAAATCTGTACATTTCTTTAGTTCGCACATTGTTATCTACTGTACCTCCAAATACATACATGGCATCACCAACTAAACCTGCAGCATGAAATAATCTTCCACTTGGAATTTGACTGTCAGATGATGGGGTAATAATAGACCAAGTTTGAGTATCTAGGTCATAACAATGTAAATCATTTGGCAATATTCCATCGGCAGCCCCTCCAAACACATACAAATGCCTATCATATGCAATCATAGTGTGACCAAACCTCCTGGCAGGTGGAGAAGGTGCTTTTCTTAGAATGTGATCAGTTGATATTCTAATCCATGTATAATCTTTAAAATTAAACTGAAAAAGATTGTTGGTAATTTTAGCACCGCTTTGACCGGAAAAAACAAACATACTATCGCGAGCAACTGCAACAGGGAAATTGCAACATGTGGGGGGACATTCTCCATTCTGAGTAATTTTAGTCCAAGTTTTTGGAAATCCACCAACAAGTGGTATTGTCCACATATCATTCAGTCTTGCATTACCGTCATATCCGGCAAAAATCCACATCTTTTCATCGTACACAACGGCTCCGTGTGCCGACCGAGCAACTGGCCCCTTTCCAACAATGTTCCATTCCAGCCATTGGCCTGTTTGGAATTGGTATTCATACAAATCGTTTTTGTTTGTCAAATTAGAATTTGAATGAATGTCACCTGTATATCCACCGAAAACGTACATAGAATTTTCATGAACCACGGCCGAATGATGGTATCTCGGAGTAGGAGCTTTAAACGAATGAGCAACATGCCAAGATTTCTCTTTTACGTCAAATCGTATCAAGTCGTTAAGCATAACGTTACCTCCATCACCACCGAAAATATAAATTACATCTTTGTAAGCGACCAACGTGTGTTTGCTTCTAGCCGCAGCTGTGTACTTGTCACACTTTGAAATTTTCTCCCAAGTATGAACCCTTTCGAAGGGTCTAATATTAAGTGTCAAATTTTCCGGAGGTTCAGGCAGATGACAAATATCATGTGCCATAATATTTTTCTCGATTAACAACTACTAATGATTACTTATTATTATATTAAAACTGTTATTGAGTGTTTTGATTTTCACATTTTTATAAAAAAAGACTTATAAAATTATTTATTAATCATTTTAAATAATACTTTGACATTTACCTACCTACTGTCAATTTGAACATAAAACATATTTTCCTTTGAGAGTAAACAAAGGAAGATAATAAGACGACGAAGAGCGGGAAAATCACGCCCAATGGATTTTTAAGTTATACTTAATTCATTTTAAAGATTAATTAGGATTAATTTTTGTTTTATTATTATTATTATTATTATTAAAGATTATGTTTAAAAAATAATTCTTAATAGTTTTAAAGTTTTAAAAAAGCGAAAATAAGTTAATAACATAATATTTCAATTAATATTTAATAAATTCTTTAAATTTAAAGATAAAAAAACCGTTATATATAAATTACCCGGATAAATCAGAATTATTTTCAATTATATGAGTAAGCTTAAAGTTTATTGAAAATTTTTTTAATTGTAAATTACGACTAATAATGTATATATTTATACTTTTTTTTTTAGAAATTTTCAAAATGGAAAGCGTTAAAAAATTTTCCTTTTATGGAAACCAATTGGAGATTTTAAGATTTCCTTAAACATGCTCACAAAAAATTTTATTTTATACGCAGAATCAATAATTTGTGTTTGTGGAAAAAAAAAAAAAAATTTTTTTGTAAAAAATGATTTTTTTTAAATCATCATAACTTTCTTGGTGCATAATATTAAAAAATATTGCTTGCATTCCACTAAAAAAAAAAAAAAAAAATGTCAGTTGTAAATTTCAACAACATTGAAGTTTGAAGAATAAATATTTAATTTTTGTTTAAATTACAAAAGTTTAACAAAAAAAACTTTATTTAAAAAGGTATTTAGCTTTGATTATATTAATTTAAATTCACACAAATACGCAATCATTAATTATTTCGTTGCGATTTTGAATTTTTTTTTAAATAAAAAAATTGTTTTAGAAAAACAAAATGGACGAAAATTTAAGCAGAGGATATATTCAATTAGGAAAAACCGTGCATGATTTTAGATTTAATAGTGGATTTAGTCATTTGACACCTCCTGTTGATAAATTTAATATAGTTTATTATGCCCTCATATTAGCCGGTACAGGATTTCTTTTACCTTATAACAGGTACGAATTTACTTAAAGATTTCATGATGTTAATCATTATCAATAATATATCATTTTTTTAAATGTATTTTTTCTTTACCTTTAGTTTTACAATAGCTGTAGACTATTTTCAATCTCGATATCCAGGCACAACAATCGTCTTCGACATTTCTTTAGTGTACATTGTAATGGCATTCTTTGCGGTTTTGGGTAACAACATTCTTGTTGAAACATTAAGTTTAAATACTAGAATCACTTTTGGTAATATTTATTGTTGATGATGTCTCCATTACTTTTGATCTGTAAATAATGATGATAAATTTTTTCAGGATACTTGATTTCCTTCTTTACTTTATTATTTGCTGTTATTTTTGGTGAAATTTGGTGGGAAGTGTTTGGACCCAATACTACTTACACAATGACTTTGGTTGCTGTGGCAGTGGTTGCACTTGGCTGTACAGGTTAAGTTTCAATTGTAAAATAGTTTTGGTCTATTTATTAACAAATTTGACATTTATTGAACTTATGCATTCGATCTGAATTTTACAGTTCAACAATCAAGCTTTTATGGTTATACCAGTATGTTACCCAGTAGATACACTCAGGCAGTAATGGCCGGTGAAAGTAAATAAAAATTTTTTAAGAATCATTTGAATTTGAAAAAAAAAATCTCATCACCAACCATTTATTATATTTTTTAGGTGCTGCTGGTTTGCTAGTTTCCCTTAATAGAATAATAACTAAAAGTCTAATTGATGATCAAAGATTAAACACATTAATATTTTTTTTCTTATCGATTTTAATGATAGCAATTTGTTTTGCTCTCCATCGGTGCGTTAATAAATCTGATTTTGTGCAATTTTACATGACGATATGTCAAGATTCGAAAAAAATTATTTTAGAACCGAAAGAAGATTACGGCTTGGTAATTAATTAAATTTCTCAAATATATTTGTTTAAAATTTTTTTTTAAATTAATGGCTGAGCGTTTTTTTTTTTTTTTACGCAGATGGATCCGGGAGATGTTTCTGAACCTTGTAAAAATCAATATGGAATATTAAAATTTAACACTGGTTCTTCGACGACCGGAAGTGCATCAGAATATTCTAATACTGGACAATATTCATCTTTAAGTTTTGCAAATCCAGTTTACGAACCTAGAGGTTCTGGAGTAGGACCATCGTATAAAGTAGAAGATATTGTTCTTCAAGATAAAAATTTAAGAAAATCATCGGGAAAATTAAAAGGATTCAAAAGTAAAAATAAAAAAAAACCGTATTTTAAAAATTTGCATTTAAACGGTAATTTGGTAATTTAAAATATTTTGTTTTAGGGGGAATTTTAGCACGGTGGGAAGTCGCCAAAAGTATTTGGCCTTATATGTTAACCATAGGTTTTGCTTATTTCATAACATTATGCTTATATCCAGGTATCGAATCAGAAATTGTTAGTTGTAGGTTCAAAAGTTGGATGCCGGTGATAATAATGACAATTTTTAATGCTTCTGATCTTGCGGGCAAGGTACTTATTAAATTAATTAAAATACGTTATTATCAAAATCTGATTTAGGGATAAAATTTTTGTCGTTAAAAAATTTTTTTTTTATTTACCTTAGATCTTAGCATCTGTACGCCACAGCTGGTCAAAAACAAACATGTTGATATTTGCGGGATGTCGAGTTTTACTCATACCTTTATTATTATTATGTGCAATGCCAAGAGGTCACCCATATTTATCAGGTGAAGGATATCCAATGTTTTTCTCGTTACTTTTGGGTTTAACAAACGGTCTCATCGGTAGCATTCCCATGATTCAAGCTCCAAGTAAGGTTTCTGAAGAAAACAGAGAACTTACAGGTAAATAAATAATTATAAAAAAGTTAAAATAAAATTTAAAAAAAAAATACATGTACGATTTTTATTTATAGGAAATATAATGACGTTTTCGTACAACATTGGACTCACGGTTGGGTCTATAGTAGCCTACTTACTAGATGCTTTGGTTGGCGAAAGAATTTCCAATCCATGCGGCTTTAATTCATCGATAGAAGCAATTTCGTCAATAAAAAATATTTCTTCTTACACATTAGGACTCACTACGACAACCTCAACTTCTATCATCACACCTGGATTTTCGAAATCCACGGAAACTCTTACATCCACAGCGATTTCTATATTAAATTCTACATTGTCCGCAATCACAGATTCTAGTATTATATCAGCAACGGAATAAAAATTTTTATTTCCTCTTCGTATTTTTTAAATAAAACTAGTCTTAATTTTAGGAACATTTTATATTTGTTATAGATAGTTAAAAACAAAACTTTTTACTCAATCTAATGATTGATTGATTGATTGATTGATTGATAGATTATATAGAAACAAAAAAAAAATTACTGAATAAAAAAATGTGATGTTTTAAAAATGTAAAATTATTGTTTTTATAAACCGTTAGAAAAATAAAAATTAAATTTTAAGAAATATATATATATATATAATTGTGTAAATATCTTATTTAACTTAATGTTGTTGTACATTATAAAAATAATATAATCACTATATTATATATATATAAATTGTAAAGCTACTCTATTAAAAAAAAAATTAAAAATTTTATTTTTAAAAACTTACTAAATTAAAGGCTCAAGATTTTTTTTTTAAATAATTTAATAATTTCTAATAAGTAAGAAAATTTTAATTTATAAATAAATTGTGAGTGATGCGACAAAAGTTCCAGATCGGTAAATGTTTTTAAATTTTTTTTTTTGTGTTTTATTAATGTATAAAATCTATAATAATAATAATAATAATAATAATTTCGTAAAAATTAATTTGGGCAAACTTAAAAAAAAAAAAAAAATAAAAAGATAATGAAAAAGTCACTGAAATAAATCTCCTTTTTTTGAAAAAAAAAAATTCAAATTATAACGGCCAAGTTCCCAAAATAGCATCTTTAATTGCATCTACATATTGAGCTGGTACCCAATATACCCAATACCTAGATGCTTCGGTAGGACCTAATTGTAAAGCCTAAAAAAAAGAAATATAAAATACATGGTAATAGAGGAATGTAAAATATATTGATAGCTTTCGAGAGATTTATTTACTTTTCCAAATTTTAATTATTTTTCTTTTTGAAAAATGATACAAACCATTATGTGATATTCCTCATGTTCTTCGATTGCTTCGCTAACGACATTTTTTATTGAATGCATTGGTATTTTATCAGTTCTTTCTTTAGTACCGATCCATAATTGATCCAATTCTAATTTAAATGTGAAACGAACTTTACCGCCATGTTTATTCAACATTCCCGATATGGGAAATTGTGGTAATCCCTCCTGTAAATCGTTTTTAAATAAAATAATAAAGAAAATTTTAGTGATTAGATACAATAATAATAATAATAATTAAAATAAAATAATCACTTTGATATTTTTTATTCCGGGCATAGCATCATCTGGAACTCCAGTATCGAGAACTTTTCTATGAATTTTTTGTTTGCAAAATGGTTCTTTTGTTGTTGTAGAAGTTTTTTCATCTGAAAAATCTAACTGACTAGGAGTAGACACAGCGAGGACATCATCTAATTTTGAACCGACCACCATTATTTTAGCACCTTTTGTAACACCTAGTTCTTTTAAAGTTCTATCATCTTTGGCTAAACCCTTAATCATAACTTTTTGCATAGCACGAGGAACACCTACAAAATAAAAAATTTCTTACTTTTCTTTTTATCGTTGCAATAATTAAAATTTTTAATAAATAACCGAAAAAAAAAAAAAAAAAAATGAATAATCACCAATAATGTTTTGAAGATGATGTTTAAGCTGCATCACAGTTTGATTTAAAGGAAAGTTAATATCATATCTATTTTTATTGTAAATAATTTTAAGAGGTGTTTCTTCTTCCAATTCTTTTTGATCGAAACCAGTGGGAAAACCTGATTCAATATTTTTACTTTCATTTTTTTTATCTGCATCAATAGAAACTACTTTACTATCTGAATTATTAGAACTTGCATCACTATCTTCTTTTAAATTAATTATTTCATTAATATTTTTTTCTTCGATTAATTTTCCACTTTTAGTATCCAGGGTATCCCCTTGTGTGATATCTATTAAAAATAAAATAATAATTTATGCAATATATTAAACAATTAATAATATTTTAAAAACCTGCTACATAAATTTACATAAGTAAATAACAATAAATAAATTTATTTTAGGTCAATTACTTTGTACTGACTAATATTTTTTTTTTTTAAATTTTAATTCGTGTTAATAATTTATTTTTTATTTAAATGTCATTTTAAAAAAAAATTTTTAATTTGTATCAATATTTTTTACAAAATGGACATAAATGCATAATTATATATACAATAGGAAAGTAGAATGAATGAAATATAAAAATATCTCATTAAATAAATAAACTTAAGTCAAATTTCCCTTTTGATTAATATTTTACTATAATTAAAAATATGTAATTGCAAATTTTAATGGAGTAAAAGTATTTAACTTTAAATTATATAATTTTTCATCATTAAATAAAATTTTATTTTAATAAAATATTTGATAAAATAATAAATAATTCTTGCTAATAATTATATATATATATATATAAATTAATTATTTATTTTTATTGATAGGATATAATAATTGTCATCGTAAAAATTTTTATTAATTAGTTAAAAGAATTAATTTAAAAAGAAAAAAAAAATTATTATTTAATTATATTGTCAATTCACTGAAAAAAAAGGTTATTAATTAATTTAAAAAAAAAGAAAAATTATCTTAAAATTTATTTAAAAAAAAAAAATCTTTATTGTGAACAATTTAAAAGAAAAATAAATAAATATATTGTTTAACATTAAATAAAAAAAATAATTTATGTAAGAGTCAAAATAAAATTTATTAAAATAAATAGTCAAGATTTACAAGTCACTTACCTTTTCCTTCCATGTTGATTGTTGACAGCTTTTTTGCTAGATTTATATAATTCAAATATTGGCAACACTGATTTGGCGGAATTTAGTAATTCTTCGCGACAAAATTATTTTAGTTTTTTGTGAAATTAAATTTTGTAATTAATGTTTAAAAAAAAAAGAAGAGGATAAAATAAAGGTAAGTTTTTTTTTTAAATGAAAAAACATTTACATTTTTCGCATCATTTATATAATTTTATAATGAATGTTTTACATTTTCGTATTTAATCAATTTTTCAATATTTTATATATATATATATATATATCTATATACTTTTCGCCATTTTGATTTTGATGGTTGACAAATCTTTTTTTTTTTTTTTGGCATTGTACAAAAAGTCATAATACAATTTATGCTTTTTTATTTTAATTTTTCTTACTAAAAAGCAGAAAATTATTAATAATTCGAATGCCTGATTTAAATGGTATTAATAAATGAGTTTAAAGCACCTCTAAATTAATCAAATTTTGATAAGTTTTTTTTTCTTCCCATTACTCTCTTAAGAGTATTCACACATTTCATTATACAAAAAAAAATGTAACAACAATTATTTAATTTAAAAAACTTAAACTTATGTCAAATTAAATAATTTATTAATGAAAATTTGGCACGTAAGTAGTAGTAGTAGTAGTAGTAGTAAAAAAAAAAAAAAAAAAAAAAAACTTATCAAATATGGCATCAATTACAATTAAAATTATTAATATTTTTTTTTTTTAACATAAAATTTTTCAACAAATTTTTTTTTTTTTTTTAAATGATTTTAACATGAGATTCATAAAATGATTGCAATCAATAATTAAAATAATTCAAGATTTGTTAAATAATAATAATATTATTATTATTATTATTATTCACCTTAAATATTATATCAAATTTTTCTTTATAAAAAAAAAAAATTATTATTATTAACAAAAATTTTTTTTAAATTTATTATAAACTAACCTAAAAAATAATAATAATAATAATAATAATAATTAAAAGAGAGCTGCTTTTTGTTTGTAATTACTTTAACAATTAGATAAAAAGAAAGAGAGAGAGAGACAATTGAAATTTTTATATTATACACAAATAATAATGATAGAGATAATAATATTAATAATTTTTACATAATTAGAAAGGCCTCTTAAAAATTAATAATGATAAAGTACATAATTTTTAATCACAATTTTTTTTTTTTTTTTTTTATTAATCTTTCTTTTTCTTTTTCTTTTAAACAAAAACAGAATAATATTTAAAGTTGCCTTTTTGTTTTATTTTTACTTTTTCTTCCCACAACCTTTTGAAAAAAAAAAAAAAAAAAAAAAACAAAAACATGCAGAGCCCATAACAAAAAATTTTTTTAACTTTAATTTTATTATCATAATATTCAATATGAATAAAATGAATTGTAATTATTATTATTATTATTATTATCATTACAACCGCCATTACTTTCAATTGGGGTACTGTTACACTAATCATTACAAAAATAATTAATTACAAGCTAAAAGATTTTTTATTTATTTATTTATTTTGATCGTTGCTATAAATGAACAATCTTTGGACAGACAAAATTATTTATATTTATTTACATACGATTTATTGTTTTTTTAAAATTATTATTATTATTATTATTTTTCTATATTGTTTTTAAACAAACTTAACATTTTCCATTTAGTTTTCAACAATGCCGGTGATTGGAAATTATGTTTTTCGATGACGTATCGATTAATCGATTTTTTTTTTTTTTTAATAATACTCGTGACTAGATAAGGTTTATATTTCGTTTCAAATTATTGTAATCAATAACGATTCTCTTTAAAATTATTATTATTACCATTTAAAAAAAAACAATACAAATAATAATAATAATAATAATAATATGTAATTAACGAAGCTCAGGGGGTGTATTTTAATATGTACTCGCTTTGAAAACTAATTAAAAAAAAAAATAGAATAGAGAGAGGGGGGGGTCGTGCGTACTGAGTATTATTATTACCTTTACGATACGTTTTTGAAAAACGAAATTCAATGATACCGATGATGATGATGATGATGATAATAATCAGATTATAATTCGAATAAAATCATTAAATAATAATATTTAATAACCTGAGTACGATTTTTCCAGTCGCGTTTATCATTTCTTACACGCATTCGTTATCCAATGGTAGAGGTTCCCCGTGTAATTCGCTTAATAAAGTCTTTTTTTCTTCTCCTCCGCTGTACAATGATTCGTAAACGGGATTTGCAAAATTATTCGAATTCTGAAAAATAAATATCGTCAATATTTGTTAGATAAGGGGGAGGGGGAGGGGAAATCAATTTAGGTTTGTTAATTTTACTTTTGCATCCCCACTCGTTTCGGGAGGATCTTCCGTTTCGTCCATGTCTTCTCCTCTCAAATACATAGGATTACTTATTTCTACGTTTTCGGTCATTCTCACGTGACTAAAAGCAGCTCCTCTGAAAGTAAAAATTTTAAATGGTATTAATAGATAAAAGGAAAAATTGAACGAAGGAAAACGGGAAAGTGGAAAATTTTTACCGTCGAAATTTCACGACTACAAAATAAGCTCCAGCAATTATTAGCAACAGGAGTAGGAGTACGGTGACGGCGATCAAAATCCCTACGGTTATGGTGTTGGGTGATTTATTATCATCAATGTTGACGAGATTTCGAGCACCTCTCACGGGTGTTTCGCATCGGACACCGGTAAAATCCGGTCCGCAACTGAAAAATAATTCAAATTAGAAAATGAAAAAAAAAACTTATGAAAATATTTAAGAAAAATTATACTCACGCGCATACGCGGGAAATGGAAGGATTGTCGCTGTGCTCGCAAGTTCCACCGTTGAAACAAAAATGATCGCAACTTAACCATTCTTGACAGGTAGCACCGCCCCAACCCACGGGACATCTAAAATCAAAACGATTTTTTTTTTTTTTTTAAATCATTTGAGAAAATTTCTATGTTCTCGTAAAACGAATTTAATTTCAAATTTAACCTGCAAAATTTTTTGCCTTCGTTGGAGTAACACGTTCCACCATTTCTGCAGTACGCGTCAGTGCATTTGGAAACGTAAGTTTCACACTTTGGACCTGTTCTGTCGGGAGGACACTCGCAATAAACGTTTCTACCGTTCAATCGACAAACACCATTGTTTAAACAGTAGCCCTAAATCGAAAAATGATTGATTGTTAGTTCATCGTTATGAGAAGAAGAAGAAGAAAAAAGAAAATTTTTTAAAATTAATTTTACTTGACAAGCGTCGCGATCACATTTCTTGCCGCTGTAACCGGGAGGACAACTGCAAACGGGTTCTCCGGATATAATCGTACAATTTCCTCGAGCACAGAAATTTTCACAAACCGATCTAGAACAAGTGGGACCAACGAATTCCCTCGGACACGAACACTCTTCGACTCCGTTTGTTTTCACGCAAATTCCATTATTTTCGCAACGGAGATTAATGCAGTTTTCGCAACGGGTACCTAAACGCGAAAGAATAATAAATCGTTAACAAGTTAGCATCGCTCCCGTCGCTCGAGTCGAAAATTTTCAAAAAACATTATATATATATATATATATATATATTACCAATAAATCCGGGAGGACATTCGCAATGGGGTATTCCCGATGGAAATTTAACACAGTGTCCTCCGTTAAGGCACCGGTCCTTACAAAATTCGATACGTGTTTCGCATCGTTCTCCGGTAAACTCAGGACCGCAGTGACATATTAATTCCTTATTTGGTCGATTATTCGAATTTACTTCCACGCAAATGCCTAAAATTATTTTAAATAATGAAAAAATCGATTATCGTAAACTGGATAAAAAAAATTAATCATTATTAAGAAGTCTATCATCTGAAATATTCACCTCCATTTTTGCAGTATTGAGAACATTTAAATTTTTGACAAAAGGTACCCTCGTAATTGGGATTGCATTTGCATCTCGGTCCGGCACTCGTCATTTCGCATTTACCCTCGTGACAGAATAAATCGCACTTTTTATCGGGAACCATTATTTTGCAAATTACCTATAATCGTAAAAGAGTTATAGAGACGAAAATTTTGAAAACTTTTGACCATTATCATTATTATTATTATTGTAATTTACTTACCGTTGAATTTGCCAAAACGGTTTTTTGCAATCCGTCCGGACACAAGCATGATTTTTTCACTATGTTAGTTTTTGTATTCGAAGACCCGATGACGCACAAAGAACTTTCGTGACAGGAACCCATCGGACACGGATTTAAAAGTCCTTTTTCCTGTTTGTTTTCCTGAAATATCACGATATCCGACATTCTATTTCGAACTCCCTGAATGACGTTTTTCGTTTCGCCGCGGCCAAATTTATTCATGCGCAAAACGTTTTCGTTTTGATACGAAGAAATATATGCGAAATCTTCAAATATCTCGAGTTTGTACGGTCTGAATGAGTCCTTATTGAAAGCTTTTACCACCATTCTGTTGTCTCCGTTGAAATCGACACTTTCCAAAGTGTTCAGCTTCGTGTCGACAAAATACAAAACGGACGATGGATAATCGATGCTTATTCCGCTCGGACAAACGACATCCTTCGACACGACTAATTTACGATGACTTCCGTCCATGAAACTCCGTTCGATTTTTGGGAATTTCAAATTGCAATCCGTGAAAAAGAGTAGAGCCATTTTCGGTTCGAGAGCTAAATCCATGGGTTCGATCAAATTCGTTTTTATAATTGTCGTCTTTTTACGGCCATTCAATGTGGATGCCATCAAAAACGCGGATTTTTCATTTGGTATTTTATCTATGTAATACAATCTACCGACGACCCAATCGATAGCAAGTCCTTTCGGATCGTGAAGTTCACCGACGACTAATTTCAAAGTGTCCGAATCTCGTTTAAATCTCAATTGTTTTTTCATTTTGTAATCGTATTGCGTTTTGAATGCTAAATTTTCCGCTTCGATAAAATCGTAATTAATTTCTCTTTTCGAATCTGCGTATTTCATTCCGAAAATATCAGCATTTTGTTTTAGTAAAATATTTTCTAAATCGCACGAAGGGTTTGGTGGTAAAGGAGTGGATTCCGACGGGGATACGATTTCTCGTTTCAATCTCGAATTGTTTAAATCGTCTTTACTCACAATCATTCTCATTATGGTCTTTTTGACGTAGTCGGTAAAGAAAACCGTTATTTGACTGTCGTTGTAGAGAACGTCGACGTTTTTAATTTTCAAATTTGTTTTTGCCAAATTTAATTGTCTTTCGCTTCCACGACTTTTGTACGGGCTTAGCACTGCCATATCGGTATCTCTAATTACTATTAGGCCAGCTTCACTTCCCATTGCTTTACACGATTTATGTACATCGGAAAATTCTCCTTTTTTTTCGCTTTCGAGCCCCCTGGAATCTTTTTTATCGGATGAACCCGGTTTGTAATTTTTCGATTTTTCTTTCGTTCCTTCTTTCATTTTAGAAGTGCTCGTTTCTTCGAACGTGAGAGTGTAACCTTTTTCACATTGACAAGAATAAGAATTTTTTTTCTCGATACATTTTTGCGAACAAGAACCGAAAGAACAATAATGTTTTTTTTGATTTAAATCCGAACAGTTTTTGTTTTCCAATGCGCATCTTTTCGAAGTGTAAAATTGACAATTTCCTTCATCGGAATTATCGCCGCAATCATTGAATCCATCACATCTTAATTTTAAAGATATGCAATCTCCATTGCCACACCGAAATTGATCGGCTGGACAAATTCCTTCCGCCAAACAAAACTAATTACGGAGGGAAAAAAAGCATGAAAATTAAATTTATTCTTTTTTTTTTTTTTTGAAAATGAGATAATTGTAGAACAAAATGGCCGATGACTTACCTCTTTGTTTTCGTCAGAATTGTCTCCGCAATCGTCTCGACCGTCACATAGGTAGTTTTTACTAATGCAAATATTTTTCGAGCATCTATGTTGTCCGATTTCGCAAGGCATAACGGCACACATTTTAGGGTCTTCATCAGATCCATCGCTACAATCGTGATCTCCGTCGCATTTCCAAATACTCTGTAAATTTTTTTTTTGCTTTGTTAATGAAAAAATTAAATTCGTTTGATAGATGAAAATTAAAATAAAAATTTATACGTCACCTCTATACACTGTTTGTTTTTGCATGAGAATTGATTGGGTAAGCATGAAACGGTACAGTTTGAGCCTACGCAGGTAGCATCTTCTTCTTTGCAATTCGGATCTGATGAATTGCATCCGATGGATTTGTAGCAAGGTTCTCCTGGTAAGCACGTAGCATTGCAATTAAGCTGGAAAATTAGAAAAAATAATAAATAATTAAAGAATGAAAGAAAAAATTTCAATTAAAAAAAATTTTTTTTTTTAAATGAAGGACACAAAGCAATTGAGTTCACTAACTTCGTCGCTGAGATCTTCACAGTTATATTCTCCATCGCATCTGTACAATCCACGAATACATTTTCCGTTTCCGCATCTAAATTCTGATTCTGAACAATTTCTCATCGTGCAATTCATTTCATCCGAGTTGTCGCCACAGTCGTTGTCGTAATCGCATCTCCATCGTCCTGACACAAACAAACATACTGCGTGTAAATATCAGAAATTTTTGGGAGTTTTAAAACCAAACGGATGGTTTTTACCTGGTATGCAAAGGTAATTGGCACATTTGAAATAAGACGGTTCACAAGAATGGTGTGCACATTCTGGTGGTTCATCTTCACCGTTTGGACAATCGGCATCGCCATCACAATTCCACGAAGATGGAATACACCGACCGTTGGAACACTTTTAAAAAAAAAAAAAAAAACAATTTTTAATTTATAATAAAAAACAAACAGTTCAAAACAAAAAAAAAAAAAAAAAATTACTTTGAAATGACCACTCGGACAAGTTCTTTTGGCACAATATTCTCCTTCATCGGAATTGTCTTGACAATCATCATCTTCATCACATAGCCATACAAGAGGAATACATTTTCCATTATTGCAAGTGAATTGATTTTCTGAACAAGTTTCATTGGGACAATCGGCTTCATCTTCCCCATGAACGGGACAGTCAACAACACCATTACACCGTTTGGTACTCGGAATACATCTAAAATACCAACGTGGATTTATTAGGGGAAAAAAACTATACACTACACATACATGTTGGAAGTTGTTTAAAAACCTGTCTTGAATTGTGTCATTTCCTTTGCATTTAATCTGCGTGTTCATACAAGTGTATTGATTACAATCTCTTTCATCGGAGCCATCAAAACAATCAGTTTCACCGTCGCAAATTTCTATTGGATGAATACACCGAGAATTATTACATTGAAATTGTCCAGGCAAGCAAGTGAATTCCGGACAATGTTCCGGTTCGTCGGATCCATCTGCACAGTCTTCCTAAAAATCAAAAAGATAACATTAGATTTTTTTATTATGTGGGGCAAGTGGGTGAGTGAATAACTTAATTTACCTGAGTGTCGCATCGCCACCAAAAAGGAATACATTGATAAGTAGAATTACAAACAAAATGAGACGATGTGCAATTTGCGATGCAAGATGAATTATCGGGACCCAATATAAAATTTTCTGGGCACATGCACACGTGAGAATTATTCGCAGTCAAAAGACACAAAGTTGAACAATTGCCATTGTTTTCGCAAGGATTGTGTTCCAACTGCGGTTGTCTAAACGGATGATAAACCTAACAAAAAAATTACAATGGACGAAATAATTTTATAAAAATAATAATAAAATATCACGTGTCTCGATATTTACGTGTACATCCATCGGACGGTGAACTAATTTGACCATAGTTTTACAATCTTTACCACTGTACTTATTACACCTTTCAACAGTTTTCAATTCCCAATCCGTCCAATACAAATAATCTTCGAAAACTGTCATGGCGAATATGTGATGGAGTTTGGCATCGGGATTTGAATTCCTACTCAAAATAATCCTGCGATTTTTACCCTCCAAATCGCACATGGCAATGTAATCCTGTCGAGCATCCCCGTAAAACAATTCCTTCGTTTCGTATGATATCGTCAAAGCATTTGGCCAACCCAAAGATTCGTTGACGAGATACCGGAAATTCGTTCCATCCATGTTGGCCTTTCCTATAAAAGGTTTATCGCCCCAGTCGGTCCAATACATGGCTCTGAAAATTTTACAAAAAATTTTTATTTTGATTTTTCCACCAACTCCTTTTCATTTTTCTTTTGCTTGTTTAAAATTACCCTTCACTTGGATTTAACGTAATCGCTCTCGGCTCTTGTAGATTCTTGTTGATTAAAACTCTTCTGTACCTTCCGTCCAATTTCGATACTTCAATCGTATCCAAAACTTTATCGCACCAATATAAATTCCGGCCCACCCAATCGACGGCTAATCCATCCGGATTTTGAAGAGAAGCAGAATGAAGTATCTGTCAACAAAAAAAAAATTAATAATCGCAAAATAATATTAGTGCTGTAGTTCAAAATTTAGTAGATGAAAATGAAATTTTTAATTTTTTGCAATACCTGATAGGAAGAATTATCGGAACAAAATCGTTTTATGCTCGAACCTAATACGGTGACGTCAGACCAATAAATACAATGTTCCAGCCAATCATAATCTAATGCGACGGCGTTCGTCAAATTATTTGCCAAAAGTGCTGCATGACCGTTGAAATTTATTTCTCTGATGTAATGAAAATTTGTGAATATGAGTTTGGGTTCGATCGCTGAAATCACATTCCACCATTTTATTTAATGAGAAAAAAAAAAAAAACAAAGAAATAATTTGACAAATTTTTTCGTCTTACTCGAATTGACTTTACACGACCTTCCATCGGCTTTCAATGCGTAACCTACGTCACAGGAACACACAAAACTTCCCAACGTGTTTCTACAAAATTGTGAACAAGGTTTTTCCGGCAATTCGCATTCGTTAATATCTCGACACAGCGACGTGTCATTTTCGTTTACTTTAAAACCTTCTTTACACTTGCACTCGAACCTGAAACGCAAAGACATAAAAAAAATTTTTAATGATAATAATTATTATTATTTTCAAAAAATTTTTGTGCGTGTACGCTTACTTACCCTACTTTTTTATCGATGCAAATGTGACTGCAAGGAGGAGGATCTTGATGACACTCGTTAATATTACATTTTATCTCGTCGGAAAAGTCTCCGCAATCATCCTGACCATTACAGAGGAGGTACTCTTCGACGCAAATTTTATTTCGGCATTCGAAATGAGTTTCCGGATTGCACACAAAAGTCTTATTAGCTAAAAAGAAAAACGAAATGAAAATTTTTTTTTTCAATGCCGTCGGTTTTATTTTATTTTATTTTTTTTTACCGCATTCTGCCAATTCTTCGTCACTGTTATCGATGCAATCATTTTCTCCGTTGCAAATCAAGGATTTATTGATGCACAAACCGATTTTACATCTGAAATGATCGGGTGAACAAAGGGGCAAACACGAGGTTTGCTCGTCGGAACCGTCTCCGCAATCATCGTCTCCGTCGCAGTACAAATCCTAAATCAAAAATTTTTATCATTATTATTGAAATGGAAAATGTTTTGATGACTGCAGACGACGCAAAAAACATTTGTCATACCTCATCGATGCAACGATGATTCAAACATTGAAACATATTCAAACTGCAAGTGTGATTCGAAGGAGAACATCCTTGATCTACTTGTTCGTCGGAGCCGTCGGTGCAATCGGGTTCGCTATCACATACCCACTTTTTAGGTATGCATCTTCCAGTCGAATTACATTTGAAATAAGATAAAGGACACGTTCGATTTTCTACAACAACAACAATAATAATAATAATAAATAATTCAAAATCAAGTTTTTAAAACATTTTAAACGTTATTTAATGATGGACGTACGACAATTAGTGTCTTCATCGGAATGATCGGAACAATCTGGAGTCGAATCGCATTGCCAAGTCAATGGAATGCATTCTCCCTGTCCGCATTTGAACTGATCTTTTCTACACGAATAAGTACAATTATGCTCGTCGGTACCATCATCGCAATCATTATCACCGTCACATCTCCAAGTGATGTTAATGCATTGTCCGTTGTTACATTTAAATTGTTTACCACCGCATTCCTTGGATTTATTATCTGATCATACATAAATTTTTTCCAAAAAAAAAAAAATAAATTTAAAAAAACAATAAAATAAATATATATAATATTCCTCGTGGTTAAATTACCGGTTACTTCTTTTGTACAATTTTCTTCATCGGAATTATCCCAGCAATCATTTTGACCGTCGCAAATCCAAGAGCTTAAAATACATGCTGTCGTATAATTACAAGGAATCCACTGTTTCGAAGAATTTAAATTCAAACCCAAATTTGGAATACCCAAACACTCGTGAGGTGCTGGCATAAGAAAAAAATTTTTTTTAAAGATAAAAGCAATTGAATATTCCAATAAATAAATAAATATTTCAAACTTACGACATCCTATTTCATCACTGGCATCCCTACAATCTGATTCCATATCGCATCTATAATTTTTACTTATGCATTGACCATTGGCACACTTAAATTGATCTTGTTTTGAGCAGGAGCAACTTGAGGGGGGAAGGAGGAGAAAAGAGAAAAAAAAACAAATTAGTTTTTACGTAAAAACATATTGATATTGTTTTTGTTGTTGTTCTATTTCTTACTTTTCGTATTCATCGCTATTATCACCACAATCGTTGATTAAATCACAGACGCTCGCATTAGGAATACACCTGTTGTTGGCACATTTATAGTAACCTTCGTGACAAACTCTGGAAGCTTAAAAAACAATAAAATAATTATTAAAAAAAATTTTTTTTGATCTTTACCACAAAAAACTACCATCACTGACTAAGTGCTAACCTCCGCAATAAGTTATAAATTCATCGCTTCCATCTTCGCAATGTTTTACATCATCGCAAGTGAGTTCGAAGGGTATGCACGTTCCGTGAGAAGAACATTTAAAATGTTTTCCATTTTCATCGCAAGTACCATTTTCGTAAACATCAACCACGGCTTCCACGCATCTTTTCGGATTATGAGCTAACACTTCTCTGCCGGAAAAACAAGAACAAATAACGAATCCGCTTGCATCCAAATTGCATTTGTCTTCGCAACCTCCGTTAGCAATCAGACAAGGATTATTATGACCTTTAAAATAAATAAATAATTTTTTTTACAGACGTTAAGCTTCACGTGGTTCATTTCAAACAAAGGTAAGTATATATAGCCAAAAATTAATGTTATATTTTACATTTTGCAGTGTCGTCGTGAACGGCAACTATTCCCATCGGTCGAGGAATGTCTTTTCTCAAATAATGAACGTCTTCTCCGGTTAACTTATTCGCTCTGACTACCGCATGGAGTACCCAATCCGTCCAAAATAAGTAATTACCATGGACGGCCATGTCAAAAGGATGTTGAGGAGATGTATTACTGAGAACCTTTACAAAAAAATTTTTAAGGTAAGTGAATATTATTATTATCGATGACTGACTACTTGAGAGAAAAACAACAACAAAACCCACAACTCGATTAGTTCCATCTGTTTCACAACGTTCGATTTTATCCAGTCTAGCATCGCTCCAGTACAATTTCATTGCCATAAAATCTAACGTTATAGCATTGGGCATTCTTATATTTGTTTTTATTATCGATTGAACCATGTATCCGTTTAAAAATGATCTTTGAATTGACGGTGCTTGATGATTCCAATTCGTCCAAAATATTCGTCTAAAAAAAAAATCATTTCGAATTTCTTCACGATTAAACAAAAAAAATTTGAAAACTCATCATCATCATCATCATTTTACGTACGAGTTACAACTGTCGGTAACGATTCCTCTTGGTTTATCTTCTTTTTCTAAATTAACGACGATTTCAACTTTGGACAATTCGATTTTAGACGATTTCGTTGTATTCGAATTGTACGGTTCTATGTGTGGGATAAGTTGCGAGAGATTCATTCTGGAAATTGTTGCTTCATTATTACAAGTCCAGTAGAGAGTTTGTCCGTATGATTCGTATGATAATCCTTCCACGGAACCCTGACCTAAAATTATTATTATCCTTTATTCCTTATTAATCCTTTATTATTATTATTATTAGTAGTACACGACACAATAACTAACGATCAATTAAAACGGTATGATTGGTTCCGTTAAAATACACGGCGTTTATGCTGCCACGTTGTATATCCGAGTAAAAAAGCAAAGACCTTTGATAATCGTATGAAAGACCAATGGCGTTTCTCATGAGTTCTTTATTTTGAATCGATGGAAAAGGAGCATTTAAATTATTTTTATCGCTTATGTGTATCGAATCTATTCGTATCACTCTCGAGTACATAATGAAACTGTTGTAATCTAAAACGATAAAAAATTTCATTTTTGAAAAATTCCTCATATTAAAATGAAATTTTTTAAAAACTTGTGTGACCTTCACAATTTTTCTGATCTTTGGCTACTTGACCGTGAGCACATTTACAAACGGGATGAGTTCCGTTAAACAAACACAATTCGGCACAACCCCCGTTGTTGAATTTACAAGGATTCACACCCATTTGTTTAGCTTTTGAAAATATTTCGATGTCTTTTAACGAATCACCGACTCCTTGAAGGAGAACCGTGTAATCGGACAGGTTGCTTAGGGGTGCAAATTTTATACTTCCTCTCAAATGAGTCCTAAAAATTTAATTTCGAAAAAAAAAAAACTCAATTTTTTGAATTATTTCACCGAATGAATTAATTTCTTAAGGACAAGCATATTCTTACGTGTCAATCCAATACAAGTGTTTATTGTAAACGGTAAACGCTTGAGGGTTATCCAATGAGTGGTCTAGCAAAAGAGTCCTTTCGGACCCATCGTATTTAACCCTTTCTATTTTATCGAGTGCCGAATCACACCAGTACAAATGTTTAGTCTAATAATAAAAATGAAAATTACAGTATTAAATGTACTTTGGTTTTTTAATTACTTTACTTTCGGATAGAAAATTTCAAATCCCACTCACCTCCAAGTCGAGTGCTATATCGTTTATGGTACTTATGGAACCACTCGTATCGTTCACTAAAACCATTCTATTACTACCGTCGAGTGCGCTACATTCGATCCTCGGCGATTTTCCATTTACCGCCCAAAATAGTTTTCCTACGACTGGATCGACCGCGATACCTCCCGGTTTGCTTATTCCGTCGGAAATGACAACAAACCTGTTTGAACCATTCAATCTAGACACTTCGATCACGTTTAATTTAGGATCAGTCCAATAAATATTTTCTGAAAAATTTAAGGATTTAAATGAAATGACACTCATAAACTTTTTACTACAAACGATAGGAGAAATTTAAATTCACCTGCTATCCAATCGATGGCTAAACCTGTCACGAAATCGCTCCCCGTGTTTTCCATTGTTTCATACCGTTCGATGACCGTTTCTCTATTCGTACCATCCCTTTTTATCTTTGTGATTTTTCCCTGATCGCTGTCACCCCAAAATATTAGTTCTTTGTCGTATAAAAATCCCAAATTCGTGGCCATGGATACGCGCGATAAGGGTCCCAAAACTTTTGTGTAATTGTCACCGGGTGGTAGAGCCAATCCTTTTACTTCCCAATTGATGGAATATATAATAAATTCTTCGATGCCTATAATTTGATTATAATTTATATCAATGCGACGGTAACGACGACCATTAGTATATCACTAAACGATTTTTTCAACTTCATGGATACCTTTGCATTTGGTCGGATTATTCACATCGACAAAATAACCGGTGGCGCATTTACAAACTCTTTCCGTTTTTGAAATCGGCAGACACAAATGCTGACAGGGTTCTTTATCGTTTGTGCAAGCGTTGGTACCCGTTTGAAGTTTAGGATCGTAGATTCTGATAGATAGTATATTTCCTTAGGGTGGAAGAAAAAACATGTCGTGAGCGATGATAACATTTTAAAATAATAAATAACGGTGGTTAATAAATACCCGTGTTGTTTCTTAACACCGTATCGTTTCCCCCGGTAGTCATGTCGGCTTTGTGAATAGCTTGATCTTCTTGATCCGAGTAGTAGATGGATCCGAAATAGGGTACCACGGATGTCGGCCGAGCTGCATTCCCACGTAATATCAATAATTTAACCGAGTTGTTAACAAAATCGTAGTATTGAATCGAACTCGATTCTATGTTGACCCAATAAAGTCTATCCGTCGCTAAATCAAAAACTAAACCTGGAAAAAAAAAAAAAATTCGATTTACTGGAATGTGAATGATCGGTAATCACCGGTTAAAAATAAATTTAAATCGTTAAGCTTACTTTGGGGAGAATGTAGAGAGGGTTGATCGCGCTGAGATACCAAAATCACCCTATCGAAACCATCCATTCTACTCTGTTCGATAATGTGAAGATCATTTTTAACGGAAGACCAATAAAGGGTACCATTTACCGGGTTTAAAGATAGAGATCGAACTTGAAATAGATTACTTCCGTTTATAATCTGTCGTGCAAAGAAGTTAAAACTTTAAAAATAATATTTTTTTTTGGAAAAAAAAAAAAAAATTGATTTCTTATTTGAGATTTAAAAAAAAAAAAATACTTGCCACGGTTATGAATTCTCCTTTTAAATTGCAAACCGAAATGTGATTTTCTCCCGCTCCCGAAGACGTCACAAATAAATTACCGGAAATCCAATCAATGGCTAAACCGTTGGGATGTTCTATTCCTATTTAAAAAAAAAAAAAAAAATTTGAAAAACCGTAAGAATTGTAATTTTTCAGGTTCGATTAAAACAATTCAATTCGCTTACCGCTGTCTATTATAGTTTCCGCAGGGCCCCCAATTAAATTGGACGTTTTCACTTCGTTCATTTGTACGTCGGCCCAATAAATTTTTTTATTCGCGGCATCGAAATCGATGGTTGCCGGTGTTATCGCGTGTGGAACATTTATTGTAGGAATCGTGTGATAATAAGCGGATGTCAAATCGACTCCCCGAATTTCGTTGGCTCTTGAAAACAAAACTATTCTCTCGTTGACAACTGAAAACATAGGAAAGTTTAAACCTTTCGAATCTTTTGACGAAAAGCAGACGATGCTCAATAATAAGAAACTAACCAATGCAGGTTTTGTTGTCCGATGATAACCTCATCACGTGCGGACAATCGCAAGTATAGGTATTATTAATATTTATCAAACAGAGATGACTGCATCCGCCATTGTTTTTTTCACATGGTGAGGGTCTATTAACGTCGCGGGGTTGCCGACTCGGATGTAATATTTGTATATCAAACGGTTGAGTTAATGTTCTTTGTATAATGTGCAAATCCGAACCTGTCAAAAAAATTTTAAAAAATCTTTACTTTAAAAAATACGAACGTTCTAAACGAGATTTTTCTCTTTTGCATACCATTCCATTTATTGGCCCGAATAACAGAATTGGATCTCCAATCCGTCCAATAAACATAATTTTCAAATATGGCAATAGCGAACGGATGACTAAGAGTTTCGTGACCTCGTATGACTTCTTTGTGCATAAGTCCATCGTACGTCGTTGTGTGAATCGAATCAGATCTATAATATTTATTAACGGTGTGTAAACAAAATTTTTTCAATTCTCCATAACCCTAAACGGCATTTTCAAATACCTCGCATCGATCCAGTAAATCCGTCTGAGAACGTAATCCAATGTTAATCCGTTGGGCCATGCTCCATCCGTTATTTGATCGACACGTAAAACTCTTTTCCTATTGGTTCCCGACATGGAACATCTTTCTATTCTTGGAGCGTGAGCATCCCAATCAGACCAAAAAAGGTACCTGAAACGTACATTTAAAATTCATTTCAAAACATCAACCCACCAAAAAAAAAAGAACAAATGAAGCCATAATACGAACCCATCTCTAGGATCCAAAGCTATCGCTCTCGGAGAATCCATATCTCCGGCGATCAAAGTCTTTCTGAAGGATCCATTAAGTTTTGCTACTTCTATTTGATCCAAATTACTTTCGACCCAGTAAAGATTTTCTCCTATCCAATCGACTGCTAAACCTTCCGCGGTTGCCAAACCAGTTTGCACAACAACCTCTATATTTGTTAGAGCTGTAAACATTTGTTTTATTATTATTATTATCTATTGCAATAAGTAAATTTGTAGACATATTGGAAAACTTACATCCTCCTATCAAAGTTCCTCTGTAAATCTTATCATCTACCACATCCGTCCAATATATCATGTCGGCTGCTTTCGTATGATAGAAATCGAGAGCTATCGTATTTTTTAAACTCGATATTAAAGCTTTGACGGTAAAATTTCTAAGTTCGACTCCTCGTAATTCGTGACGATTTGAAAATATAACTTGAGGAATGGCTCCGTCTAAATAATAATAATAATAATAATACAATTAGTTAACTTTTTTGACTTAAATAATGACACGACGAAAACTTTTTACCTTTGCTTTTGCACGTAAAACCATCGGGTTGAAGCAAATGATCATCTTCGCATTTGCATTTATGTTTGTTTTTAAGAGGTATGCAATATTGCGAACAAACTCCCCAGGATTCGCAGGGGTGAGATTCCGAACAAGTCGTGGAATCGGGTTGCAAATGCAGGCCTTTTGGACAGTAACAAACGAATCCGTTGGGCGCGTTCTGACAATAATGACTACAGTGCGACGTAAACGAACACAGTTGCTCTTCTGTAAATGAAATTTACCTTTAATAATAATAATAATGATAATGATAATAATTCTTTGAAAACACAAACCGCAACGTAATCCTTCATCCGATCCATCCGAGCAATCTTTTTTATTATCGCACAACTGTGAGACTTTTATACATTTAGTCCCGTTGTCGCAAAGTCTGTGTGAAGGTTGTTCGCATTCAAAGGAAGGCGTGGGAGTAGGTGGGGTTATAAAACAAGTTCCGCTTTCGGTGCAGTTGTGAATTTCTAAAAAAAAAAAATTATTTTCTCGATAAATTAACAAAAGAAAAATCATTAGGTATCGCGGGGGGCGAAAAAATGCGTTCGCACAAACCCGTGCAATTTTTTTCATCCGACCCGTCCAAACAATCATTTCTTCCATCGCAAACGAAATTTTTACGAACGCATTCGATATTATTCCAACATTTGAATTCGTGAGAACTGCAAAAAACGGCAAAACCGTTCGCGGGTCGATTAACGGTTTTCGATTTTTGATCTCCTCCGTTTTCGCACTTCTGTTCGTCCGACTCGTCCGAACAATCGATCACTCCGTTACATTTTTTCGACAGCGGAAGACATATACCTTCGGCGGGACAATAAATCTAAAATTTACATTAAAAGCATAAAAATTTTAATTTTTAAATAATACCTTGACGGTACTAAATTTAACTCTTACTTCCGAACTGTTTCCGCAAATTTCCCCACAGCTTTTTTCATCGCTTCCATCGCGACAATCGTTATCCCCGTCGCAAACAAATTCGACGGGAACGCAATGAACGTCGCCGCAAACAAATTCGTTGGCCAAGCATTCGGATCCCTCTGAAAATATAATAATAATAATAATAATTATTATTATTATTATTTCATTCGTAAAAAAAAAAAAAAAAAAATGATACGTACTACAATTAGCATGTTCATCAGACGTATCATTTTCACCGCAATCAAAATCAGAATCGCATGTCCACGAGTAAGGAATGCAACTGCAAGTAAAAATAAAACAACGTTCACGCATTACAATGCTCCAAATGTGGAGGGAGAGGGAGGAAGAGGGGAGGAGAAATATCATACCGTCCGGTAATTTCGCATAAGAATTGCGATGAATTACACGTCGTATTTTTACATCTTTCCGGTGATTCATCCGAACCGTCGACGCAATCCCGATCACCGTCGCAAGCCCAAAAACTTTTAATGCACCGATTACCGTCACATTTGAATTCATCATCGTTACAAGATCTTACGGCTGGAAATGGAAAGACGATAACGATAAAGTCGGAAAAATCAAATCCCGAATAAAAAGAATTGAAAAGGAGGACTCACCGCAAACACCTTTGGGATCTTCATCGGAACCATCACCGCAATCTTTTTCTCCATCGCAAATAAATTTACGATTTACGCAACGATGACTGTCCAAACATTGAAATTCAGTTTCTTTGCATTTTGGTAAAACCTGGATAAAAAAGGAATCATTGACAGTCTTTGACGATCGTTAAAATAAAAAAAAACTTGAATACTTACTCTTGAAGTTGTGGAAACATCAGGTACGCATTTTCCATTTTTCATAGTGTAATTATCGGAACAAGAACATTGTATTTTATTCGGTAAAGAAAAGCATAATTCTTCGCAATCGCCATTTCTAACGGAACAATCACTCGTTTCTGAAGAGAGAGAGAGAGAGAAAAGGATACAAGTTGGAAAGAGAGAGAGAGAAATAATTATACAAATTGGAGTAAAACAATAAAAAAATTTTCATTACCGTTTTGCGAATTCTTATCGTATATTTTAACTTCGAACAACATGTATTTTTCCGATGCTAAAATTTCTTTCGTCATATTTTTCGTCAAGTGTAAACGATTTATGGAACCTTTTTGAAATTCCGTCCAGTAAAGAAAATTATTATGGTATGCCAATCCGTACGGATGATCCGTTTTCAAGTCTGAAAATATTTTCTGAAAAAAAAGTATTATTATTATTATTTTAATTTCAATTCGAAACGGAAAAAACATCGAATAAATTTATATAAATTTTAAGCAGTACTCTTCTCCCCGTTCGATCCAAATTGATTCTTTCAATGACTTCTAAAAATGCATCGCACCAATATAAAACATCGTTTGTAAAATCAAATGTTAAACCGCTTGGCCAAAGTGTATTTTCCGAAATGAAAACCTCTCTTTCGTCACCGTTCAACAAAGCTCTTTCTATTTTTCCGATTTTGTGAACCATCGGTGTCCAATCAGCCCAATATAGGTTTCTGGAACAAAAAATATAACACAAATGTAATAAGGAAAAAAAGGAAAAAGGAAACAAACAAAATAAATTTTTGAATTGTTTTTTTTTTTTTACATTTAGGAACGGAAAATTTAAAAGGCTTCGGGAAAATTCCTTTGGAAAGTCAACAATTTTTTCCGTGGGGAAATTTTTCAGGATTCGGCAAAACTGTAAATTAAAAACGTTTTTTAAGAAATAAGTTTTACGATTTTTTAAATTTTTGGAGAAATTCAAAAAAAAAAGTAAAATAACCACCTGTGCTTATGATCTATGGCCAACGATCTCGGCTGGAATAAATTTCCAGACACGATCGTTTTGACTATGGTCGAATTACTAACTTTGGCCACTTTTATCACGGCCGATCCTTCGTCGGCCCAATATATGTTATGTCCCAAATAATCGAATGCTATGCCCTCGACGTAAATCAATCCTTTACTAACGACGACTTCTCTTTTCGAACCGTTGATGTGTTGCCTTTCTATGCTATGCCTACAATTTAAAAAAAAAATTAAGACTTGTTTTGATATGGAAAATTCATCCTCAAGGAATTTGATTGGATGCTCACGTGTCGGAAAAATAAATGTATTCATTTTTAACGTCGAAATCGATAGAATTAGGTCTCGTGACATTCAATATGGGCATCATGACTTCCGTGAAATAAGTCGAAAGCTTCGGATTTGAACTTTCCGCGATTCCTTTAATCATGGGCGGCCGAGCTTTTCCGTAAACTATAAAAGTCGACGGAGGTTTTATTAGGCAACGACCTTTAACCTCGTGATAACCCGTTTGACATAAACACTGAGCGATTGGAACGCCTTTGTGATATGATGGCACGCAAATATGTTGGCATCCACCGTTATTAACCGTGCATGGATGATTAACGATGGGTTGTCTTTGCCTGGCGCAAAAAAAAAGAAAACAAATTTTTAAAGTTTCCAAAGGCTTTCGAAACAATAATATTTCGCGTTGTTGATTTTGTACCTGTGGACCGCATGTATGGAAAACGGACGACTGAAATTTCCTATCGTTTCGTAGTCATTCGAATTGAATTTATTTAAACGTATTATCGTAAAATTTCTCCAGCTGGTAACGAATAAATCGTTTTCGAAAACTGTTATGTCGTAAAGGTTTTGTACCTGATATAAACAAAATAATAATATATAATGCACATCCACTCTGTCGAGACGAAGAAAAGAAATTAATTCGAATTGGGGAAAAAACAAAGACTTACTGGAACTCCTTTTCTAATGACTTTTCTATTTTTTCCATCGTAATCGATACGTTCTATGACGTCGAGATACGTATCGACCCAGTATATGTGCTCGCTAGGAAAATCAACGGTTAAACCGTATGGATAAACTATTTTTTTGTCGACTAACACTAACCTGGAAATGCATTATGGAATGAGTAGAAGAAGAAGAAGAAGAAGAAAACAAAAAAAGTTTAAACTTGCAAAACCGCTATTTACCTTTGGGTACCATCGAGCAACGCTCTTTCTAACACGGCTGCATCGTCGCTCCATTTTGTAAAAAATAAAAATCCTTTCGTGGGATCCAACGTTATCCCTTTCGGACGACTCAAATCACTGTCGCATATGATTGTGCACGATTTGAGAGTCGAGTTACAAAGGAAAATCATTTCTCTCGAATCGTCCAAGAAATACCAATTTCCCGTCAGCCAGTCTAACACTAAATGAGTTTTTGCTGGAAAATTTACAAATAATTTTTTTTTCATTAGAACAAATCAAAAATTTAAATTTAAATTTAGGACATAACGAAATTAAAAAAAAAAAACCGTACAATGTAATGGAAACATTATGGATTTGGGTAAATCCCAACTCTTTTCGAAATTATCCAAGCTGACGCATTTAAAACTGGGATTCGTAGAATTTCGACGAACGTAACAAACGCTCCTGTTCCTGTGATCGAAATCCAGGGATAAAGTTTGAACGTTGAGATTTGTGCTTTTGGAAACGAAACTTCCGTTTAAATATATTAAACCGATATCGGAACTACTACTGTATAACAATGATGGCGGTTCCTCCGGAGGAACTGGAATGAATAAATAAATTATTATTATTATTACGTTCGTTCATTCATTCATTCATTCAAAACCTACCGTTTTGAGCAAAACATCGAACGCCACGTTCTGTATAACCGTTGACACAAGAACAAGAAAATGAACCTTGAGTATTGCGACAGATTTGATCACACGAACCTTCAATTTCGCATTCATCGAGATCTAAAAAAAAAACGAACGGGATTTGTTTACACGAACAAAATAATAATAATAATAATAATTAGCATTTAACTTTTAGTAGCCATTTCCGGTTTCGTCGTTAGTTGAAAACGTCAACAGTGAGAATCATTTATCATTTTTCAATTTGTTTCCTTTTTTTTTTAAACAAATATATCTTTTTAGAAGGATGAGGGTAACAACTGATACTCCTACTCCTACTTCTACTCCTACTCCTACTACTCCTACTACTACTACTTGTAAAACAAATTGACGTCACTGTCACATTGATTACTACTGATAATTTAAAATTGATAGATTTAAATGTTAAATGATACTGACAAAACATTTTTGACTTTACGTCGGAACGTAATTAATTTTTCTTTCGAAGACAGGAAACAATTGATAATGATAATGATAATGATAATAATAATAATGTTAACAATGATAAATTTAAAACGTTTGCATTAATTCACGACTCACCTATGCAACTGTTATTTACATATTTGAGCCCTTTCTCGCAATAGCATTGCGGACCCGACGGAGACATTGTGCATTTATATGGGCATTTCATCGTGGAACAAGATTTCGTTTTGTACAAACAAAACAAACTTTCATCTCCGTAATCACCGCAATCATTTTCCTTATCACAAAGCTTTGAAAATTCTATGCATTTCAACGTTTCCGGACATTGAAATAAATATTCTGGACATGATGGTGACGTCGTCGTCGTCGTCCCCGTCGTCCCCGTCGCCACCGTCGTTGTTTCAACTGAAATTTTTTTAAAATAAATTTATTATTATTTGTATAAGGTTGTTATCATCATCATCGATATCATTTTTTTTTTTTGGGGGGGGGAGAAGGTTTTAATTTCTTTACGATTAGTTTTGTTTTTTATTTACAAACTATAGCATAGATATTTACGTCAACGTTTCTCCCGTAATCGGTGTCATTAAAATTTTTTTATCAATATTAATAATAATAATAATCGTTATTATTGGGTTCAGTGGATATTTAATGCTATATTCGTTCGAGATTCTTCGACGAATATAAACGATAATTAACGACTTCCTTTTCCGTTACTTTTTCCTCGTGAACGATTACTTTTACTTTCATTTTCATCGGATAAATAATAAAACAAATTGGAAGAATCATTTAACCGGAATAATAATTTTCAATCGATCCAGGAAAGGGAGAGGAGGAGGAGGAAGAGGAGGAGGAAAAGGAGGAAAAAATTTAATCATTAATAACGACACGACGAAACGTAACGCAAATTCGTCGCATTTTACCATTATTATTATTATTATTATTATTATTATTATTATTATTATTAAGCCACGTAGTATTTTATATCACCTTGTGAAATATAGAAAAAAAAAAAAAAGTTCTAGGACACCTAAAAAAAATTTATTGAATAACAATAATAATAAAAAAAAAGAAAAGAAAAAAAACTCGTTACGTAATTGTCGATCATCATCATCATCATCATCATCATCATAATCAAACACAACAATTAAAGGTCAAAGTTGAAAAATTTTTAAATAATGGCGACAAAACAAAGCGACAGTTTTTTTTTTTTTATTAAAAAAAATTAATTATTTAAAATGAAAAAGAGAAGAAAAAAAGAGAAGAAAAAAAATTATTGATTTTCGATTATAAATTAAAAACTCTCATTAACATATATATAAAAATAATAATAATAATAATAATTTTATATGATTCTGAAGAGAGAGAGAGAGACAGAGAGAGAGAAAGAGATTAACAAACGAGTTAGGATTATTATTATTTTTTTTTAAATCCATTTTTACGACGAGTTTGATAAAATTGATAATTCGACTTGGATGAATACATAAATAAATGAAAAATTTTATATACGATGGAAAATTCCATATTTTGGGGATTTCAGGTATAACCGAAATCATTTAATTTTTGTTTTTTTAAACATTCGTCGATCGTCCATATAAAATAAACCATAATGTTGAAAAAACAACAACAACAAAAATTCGTCAAAATGCTACGCCCTTTTTTTTTATTTCTCAGACAGTTCTTTCCTCCTCCTTTCCCCCTAAACAAAAAAAAAAAAATTTTTTTTTCTTTTTTTAAATGCCTCGAAACTCGTTAATCATCATTATTATGTTAACCTCTAATATATACATAAATAAATTCAAGCGGTTAAAACAATCGGTTGCGGTCGTTAACGTATATATATATATATAAAAATTATCATTAACAAATATTCACTCTCTTATCATCACCTTTGATATGGAGAATAAAAAAAAAATAATAATAATTAACCGTAACGAAAGGATGTGTGTGGAAAAGAATATTCTATCGCTTATCGTTTTTAAAATGTACAAGAGAGAGAGAGAGAGAGAGAGAGAGAGATAGGGGGAAAAACAAGTGTGTATGGAAATACAGACTTTGCGAGAACCAATTAATCCTTCTAGAAATTCATTCCATAATACATATGTGTTAATTTTTTTTTTTTTTTTTTTTTTTTTTATTACAAAAAAAAATAAGATACTACTAGATTTTTCTTTTTTTTTTTTTTCAAGGTTCGATTCGAGTTAATTGAATCGGTAGTTAATTTTATTATTATTATTATTTTAAGGTACGAGAAACTCGTAACGCTTATAATGCCACAATCGCTCGCTTGCTTCCTTGCTCGCTCGGTAGATTTTTTCATTTACATTTTTATTTAACGTATTCCAAGTTTTATACGCCTTCATCAAATAATTTAAAACAAAAATCGAACGATATATCGATATATCGATCTATAACAATTCGATAAATAATTTTTTTAAGCGAATAATAACAAACGAACCGAACAGAACCAACCAACAACCGATCAACACCCCCCCACCCATTTTACTTCCTCTTCTTTTTTCCTTTTCCTTTCCTTTTTTTCTTTCCTTTTTTTAATTAGTTCCGATCATTAATTTAATTAATTTAAATTATTTTAAAACGAAAAGTAGTGCAGTGCACCACACTTTTATTTTCTCTATGGAAAAAAACAAAATGGTTTCTCATTCTTGAACAACCTCTTTAAGTGGTTTGGTTTCCTCCCCGTTTGTTTCGTTTGTTGTTTCAATCCGAAGGCATAAAATTTATTCGATAGGAAAAGAAAAAAAAATTGTGACTGGAATATATTTATCATTAATTAATTTCAATAATATTATAAATAAATAAATAAATATTTTGTTGTTGTAAACTAATCGGTCGATAACACATCGGGGCTCCTAACTGGAAATATTAAAACAAGACTTTAATGTAACCTTGACGAGGTTTTCTTTTTTTTTTTTTTTTTTTTTTTTTTTGCTTCGAAAGGTCATGATTAGAAAAAAAAATGGACGGATGAACGATGACGACGACGACGTACGGTACAAAAAAACATATAAACAACATCACTTTTCATATTTTCACGCCATTATCATCATCATCGTCATCGCCGTCATCATCATCGTCATCGCCGTCATCATCATCATTATTATTTCCCTTAAATTACAAACGACGACCGAACGGCAATAAAATAATTAAATAGTAGTAGTATTAAGTTCGTTCGTAATCATTTTATATGTCGGGAAAAAAAAATAATAAAAAATCATTGTTGCCAACTCTAGCAATTAAAAAAAAAAAAAAAATCGTGATTTGATTATTATTATTATTGTTATTAATATTCGAATTCAGTAACGATCGATTCATTTACGAGTAGGAAAAAACATTTTTTTTCTTTTAACGCCAATTTTAAAATTTTAATTACGTTCGATTACGTTCGTTTTTTTTTTAAATTTTTATTTTATCACACGCTTAAATTTCCCAAAGAAAATTTCGGGTTCGATTACGTTTGTGTCGAGCTAACATTTTTACGAAACAAACGAACAAACAAACAAACGGAAAACCCTTTCGCACAAAACGAAATTTCAAATTTGTCAAACAATAAAATATTATAAAACATGATCGCATCAACGTTTCGCCCCCCATTTTATTCGAAATCGATACTAATAATAATAATATTATTAATAATGATGATAATAATAATAATAATTTAATTATCATGAAACAAAAACAAACAAACAACCAAAAATTTAAGCCAAAGAAGCAAAAAACAAAAAAAAAAACAAAAATTTCAAATTACCATCATCATCATCATCATTTTTATTATTATTATTATTATTATTATTTGACGTAACAAATTATTAACTCTTAATTTCGGCGCCTTGAAACGCGTTCTTTAACGTTTGTCCATTTCCCCCCCCCCGCTCCCCATTTTTTTTGCGCACAAAATCCAAAAAAAAAAACAAAAAAAAAAAAATTTTTTTTTTTTAGTGTTCGGTTGTTGTTGTTGTTTTTGTTTTTGTTGTTGTACGCATTGGAAAACTTGCACGGCAACATTATTATTATTACCTAACAACCGAGACTTTGGTTAGCCTATGAATGCTCATATTCTATTCGTAAAAACGTAATAATAATAATAATAATAATAATAATAATAATAATAATCTCGGGTTTTTGGCACGATTTTATTTTATTTTTTTTTTTTTTACCGTGCAATTTTTTTTATTTTTCTACCTGAAACTTTTAAGGTTCATTATTATTATTATTATTATTATTTTTAATGTTTTTATTTGAATCATCGTTTAAACCACCGTGGAAAGAAAGAAAAAAAAGGAAAAAAATTTTTCTTCTTCCGAGACCTTTATGCATTTTTTTTTTTTGTTTTTTTTTTTTTTATACATCATCAAGTTAATAAATTACAACGATTATTACTAACGTAAAGTAATCTTTACACTATTACTACTACCACCACCACCACCACTACTACTACTACTACTACTACACGGCTAGCAGACTGAAAAAAGTCATTAACAACAAACGTATGTTTCATCATTTTCCACTCACACAAACACATACAAACACAAACGAATACAAATATGCTCGTAAAACAACAACACAAACGAAACCCTTCCCCTTCTCCCCACCCCACCCCCCGTTTTTTTTGTATTCAACTGTCAATTTCATAAAGTTATACCACCTTATTTAAAATCGAAATTTACTACATATCATTAATTATTATTATTATTTTTTTACACCGAACGCCCGGTTTGTCGCAATGAATAGTTTAAAGTCTTAAATAAATAAATAAATAAGAAAAAATGATGGAAGGTCATGCCATTTGTTTTTTCCATTTTTTGTCTTTAAACTTTCAGGTTTCAATCATTCACTACACTCTCGAAGATTACTACCGAGAAACCATCAAAAGACTCCCCCTCCCCTCCCTTCCCTCCTTTTTAAAAAAAATGTTACCTCACAGGTTCTTTTTTTTTTTTTTAACGTTTGTTTGTTTCGTTTTTATTTTTTTCCGGAGCTTGTATAAACTTACACAAAAAAATTTTTTTTTTTTTTTTAAATTGAATTATAAGAAAATGGCGACGGGACGTTATCACACATTCGTTTTAAATTGCTCCCTTATCACAACATTAAAAACAAAACAAAATCAATTTTTAATAATTTTTTTTTTGTCAAGTAATTTTTATCATTACGTGGGGTTCCATTTTTTTTTTTTTTTTTTTTTTT